TGGATCAGTGGTAAAGAGTGAGGGTTTCCGGATTGTTAGCAGAAAAGGGGCAAAGTTGGAAAGAATCTCTTCACCCTGGGCATCATTAGGATTTGGAATTGAAATGGAACCAACTGAATTATAGAATTATACAGCACAGAAGGAGGCCATTTGGCCCATCGTGTCTGTGGTGGCTCTTTGAATAGAGCTATCCAAATCAATCCCACTCCCCTGCTCTCTCCCCATAGCCCTGCAAATGTATCCTCCCCTAATAATTATTCAGAATGGAACAGGGTAAAGCACCTGAGCTGGGAAACCATTAAGGGAATATGAGAAGAGAGCTGGAAAGAGAGATAAAAAATAAATGGCTATTTAGAAAAACAGAGAGCAATGGCACAACAGCAACTAAAACTTGCCTTTATATAGAGCCTTTCACATCAAAAGAGTGCCCCAAGGTGCTGAACAGTCAAAGGTTTGCATGAGCTGGGAGTGGGAGTCAAGAAAGCTGGAGGACAAGGTAGGGGAGTAGATGTGGTAGGATAACCAAAGGCATGGTCAAAGAGAAAGTTCTTGAGATAAGCCTTGAAAGGGTGGGGGCGTGACCCAATGACCACATGGGCTCCTTCCCTGGAGTTAATTTCTACCTTTGGTTGTTTAAGATCAAAGTAATCAAAGTAATTGTACAAAGTACAAAGCATGATCAATGTAATTGTTGTCGTTGTTGTTAAGATTGGAATTCACATTTTTGGCTAAAAACAGTCCTTTGGCCAGATCTTGCCTAATTCTTCCCCCTAAATTTCCTTGCTTTGCAGATGAATGATCAAGTGGCTCACATTGCCACTCAGCTAATCAGCATCTCCTTCAGGGGTCAACAGAGCAACCTTAGTCCCTGATTCAAAATTCCCACCCTCACCTGTTCTGTTCCCACGGTTGGTGGAGAGAAGACTGCTAACTACAGGGATTGGTTGTCCTAGAGATACTCCTTCTGGGCAGAGACTGGAGTAATTGGCCAGGGTCACAACTTAAGGAATGGTAGGGAGACTGAGAGGCTGGAAAGGGATGAGCACAATAGCTTAGAGGAAGATTGAGTGATGTACAAAGATGCACTAAGTAATGTACAAAGAGGTGAGGATGGAGCGTGAGCTGGGCTGAAGAGGATGAGAATCAAAGTGATGAGGGGTAACAATTAGCAAAGGCTGTGAGGTAAAGGGGGAAACGGGCTCAGAAAGTGAGACTGGGGCAGAGCACAGCGATGGTTAGAAAGAGATGACCCCGTCTCATCACTTGGAAATGTCCCATTCCACTGCCCTCCCTCCCACTGCCACTTTGTTTCACAACAGAAGGTGGGAACCCTAATCCAGACCTCACCTGCATTCAATGTTCCTCTTCCAGTAATAAGTCATCATGAACTCTCTGAGAAAGATGTAATGTGAGTAGAGTGACCTGCTGCTTACCTGCCAAGTAGGGGGTTGCAGTCCTGATGCTCTTTCTGAATCTCGGAATTTAGGGATCTTGGATTCCTGAGATGCTAAACCAAATCTCTATGTGAGGATTGGGGTGACAGGCTGGTGGAGCCTGGTCTCTAAGCTAGAACAGTCAAGATGAGGTGTTCAGTGGCGTTGTGGAGGAGACTGAATCGGGTGTATTATGCCAGGGCTGCTTACTGAATATCTCCATATTGAATCTCCACATTGTACATCTCAATCTCCCCTCAGACCCACCCTGAGCCCACAATGGGTGGCGTCCCCCACACTGTGATGGAGTGAGTGGTCTGGAGTGGCAAAGGCCAGCTCAGCATTGTCCTGTCTCCCGGAACTCCGAGACATGGAACGAGCTGAAAGCCCAATGAATCGGGGGGGGGGGTGTCTCAGGTTCTGGGATCTGGGAATGCTGGGATCCCGGGATTTCCAGGATTGCAACTCCTACCCACAAGCTGGGTGACTGCATGGCCCCTTCTCCACAAGGGAGCTCAGATGTGGAAGTAAAGTCAGCTTCAAAATGTCAATGAAAGTTTTTAGCTACACACAAAGTGCAAGGTTTGTGGTTTTACTTGAGCAGAGAAGGTGGAGAGATCTGATCCAGGTAAGAGAAGGGCACATGCATGTTCACTCATACATACACACACACATATAGCTGGAGGAAGGGTAAGGGACAGAGAGAGATACACAAACACACAAACGAACATATCAAGACCTGATATCCGCACTGTTGCCATATCCACAACGGAGCCAGTTCCAATCAGTGTGGACATTGGGCTTTCAAGTGTATTAGATAAGGAGATAGTTAATACTCAAAAATAATATCCCCAGAAGGATGCTACTTGTTGTCTGCTCTTCCCACAACACAAATATTCAAATTGTCTCCTCAAGGGTGCCAGAAAACCTTGTGCAGCCAGACTTGGTTTCACTAGGATGTTCCTTCCAACCTTTGTTGTGAAATCCATACAAAATAATAAACAGTCTCATTGGAATGTTTTAAATGGAGAAAGGAATTCACCTTTCTCCCAGGAAACCCCTCTGTCTGTTTGAGGAATACTGATTGTCTGCGCACACACACCTCCAAAAGACAGACAGCCTAGGACAAGCCTTGTGGAGCAACATTCATGGATCACTCAGTGTCTTCTGTTTTAGGTTCTGGAATCACTAAAGACGGGTGTGAACTATGTGCCATTCTTGGGATATTGATGTCTTTGAGCCTTTGAGGGATCTTTCTCCTCGAGCTGTTGGGCTCATTTCCTCAAAGATTGTCCTTTTGGTACAGAAAAGTCATTTTTCAATGAAATTAAAACCATAAACAGAAAGGGCTTTTTGATGGATGTCTTTTCAGCTCTGGAAGTGGTAACACGATTGGTTCATCTCAGTCAGACTCTGCAGAGCCCAGGCCACCTGACCAACCTTACTCCGTGTTGATGCTGTCAGTTCTTGATATGTTTAATGTCTGGGCAGATATGGAGATGTCGACATTGTCTACAGGGCTGTGATAGTCAGAGGTCAGCTCCTGGTCCATGATAGGGATGTGCATTGCAGCTAGCGTCAATGCTGATCCTTTACTTAAAAACTGGCTGTAGGCGCCTAACAACAGATCCAGCTTCTGTTCTATGGACTGGACCTGAAATATAACACAGACGTGGGGTGAAAAAAACCCATGTAAATTGACGAGGCTATACATTCTGCTGAGGTTATCATAGAGAACAGCTTACAGGACCTTGCTCAGGTCCTCACAACCATTATAATAGGGTTTGGGAGATTTAAAGTAATAAGTGTTTCTGCCATCAACAACATCCAAGAACCAAAGGGTAATAGCTTACACTGGGGTGGGTGGGGGGGGGAAACAAATGAGAATATGAAATGAAAGAGACTTGTTTGAGGGTGTGTGAAGACGTGCAAGTACGTTTGTTTCAGGCTGTGTGTGAAGGTGTGTGAGAGTCCGTGTGAGTAAGGGGGTGGGTGTGAAGGTCTGTGTGTGTTTGTGTGAATGTGTGTGAGGGTATGTATGAGAGCATGTGTCAGGGGGGTGTGTCAGAGCGTGTGTCAGGGGGTGTGTCAGAGGCTGTGTCAGGGCGTGTGTCAGGGCATGTCGGAGCATGTACTTTACCTGTTTCTCCACTTTCACCACTCTTCCCATCATACTCATCTCATCTATGGCTTCCAGTTCCAGAGAGCCTTTCTCTCCTTTCTCTCGCAATTTCTTGTCCGTCACAATTTGACCTTTACCAATGATCTGGTCAACCCTAAAGCAAACAACAACAACAACAACAAAATTACCTTTATTGAGTGCCTTTCACGGCGGGAGGACGTCCCATGGCGCTGGGCAGTCAGGGGTCAGGACCCGTCAAGAGCACACAGAATATATTGTCTCTTTGTTTACAACAAAGTTCAAATAATTCTGTAGCCATTGAATTTGGGAATCGTCCCACACTGCCCTGTACAGCACTGCCCTGGTAGTTCCACACTGTAGACACCAGGAGGCGCTCTATCCCTACCCTCCCTCCACTGCCACCTGCTGGCTGCCATCTGAACTACAATAATACATTGGAATCGTGAGCGTTGTGCAGCTGGTGACATGTGTATACAGTAACCAAGTCTAGACAAGTGAACACGACTGCAATTCCCCACTTACAGGCAGACTACATGATCTCAAACGGTTCTTCAGGAGGTTTAACCTCTTCCAGAGGCCGATGTGCAAAAAGTCTGAGACTGTGGAGTAGAACGCCCACGTGGCATTTCTGAGGGTTGAGAGTTTTGGGATCAGAAAGGACCAATTGGGAATACCCCAAAGAATATTGATGGCGGTGGGGATTGGAGGCTGTAGAGCTAAAAATATTATTTTCTGGTCTTGTGAAGCTCTAATCCCCAGGGAAATGATACACAAATACGAACAATATATCTCAACAATATCTCGGTCCCTGCGGGTCTGTTAGGGACAGTGTTCTTCTCTGTGACCGCATCCATTCTTAAAAACAAAGAGGATGAGACATGGCTTCAGTTCTCAAACACCAGACTGCATGGAATCCAGGAAGTAAGCAACCATGGAAGCCCTCCCATTAAACCTTCACTTGTGCCCTCTTTACCAACTGATGATGGGTTTAGCATTGCCCACACAGCCCACAGTGTCCACAGTGCCCACACACCACAGTGCCGCAGCCCGCCCACAGTGCCAGCGCAGTCCACAGTGCCAATGCAACCCACAGTGCAAACGCAACCCACGGTGGAAACGCAACTCATGGTGCCAACGCAACCCACAGTGCCAACGCAACCCACAGTGAAAGAACATACCACAGTGGCAGCACAACCCACAATGCCGGCACAACCCACAGTGCCAACGCAATCCACAGTGCCAACGCAACCCACAGTGCCGGCACAACCCACAGTGCCGGCACAACCCACAGTGCCGGCACAACCCACAGTGCCGGCACAACCCACAGTGCTGGCACAACCCACAGTGCCGGCACAACCCACAATGCCGGCACAACCCACGGCTCCAGCACAACCCACAACGCCAGCACAACCCACAGCGCCAGCACAACCCACAGTACCAGCACAACCCACAGCGCCAATACAGCCCACGGTGCCAATACAGCCCACGGTGCCAATACAGCCTACGGTGCCAGCGCAGCCCATGGTGCCAGCGCAGTCCACGGTGCCTGCGCAACCCACAGTGCCAGCGCAGCCCACAGTGGCAGCACAACCCACAGTGGCCACACAATCCACAGTGCCAGCAAAACCCACAGTGCCAACACAGCCCACGGCGCCATCACCGTCCAAGGCGCCAACTCAGGCCACAGCGCCAGCACAACCCACAGCATCAGCACATCCCACAGCACTAGCACAACCCACAGCGCCAGCACAACCCACAGCACCAGCACAACCCACAGTGCCAATGCAGCCCACAGTGCTAACACAATCCACTGTACCAATACAGCCCACAGCGCCAACGCAGCCCACTGTGCCAACACAGCCCACGGTGCCAACACAGCCCACGGCACCAACACAGCCCACGGTGCCAACACAGCCCATGGTGCCAACACAGTCCACGGCACCAACACAGCCCACGGCGCCAAAACAAGCCACGGCACCAACAACCCACAGTGCCAACACAGCCCACAGTGCCAGTACAACTCACAGTGCCAACACAACCCACAGTGCCAACACAAGCCACAGTGCCAATACAGCCCACAGTGCCAGCACAACCCACAGTGCCAACACAAGCCACAGTGCCAACACAATCCACTGTACCAATACAGCCCACAGCGCCAACGCAGCCCACTGTGCCAACACAGCCCACGGTGCCAACACAGCCCACGGCGCCAACACAGCCCACGGCACCAACACAGCCCACGGTGCCAACACAGCCCACGGTGCCAACACAGCCCACGGTACCAACACAGCCCACGGCACCAACACAGCCCACGGCGCCAAAACAAGCCACGGCACCAACAACCCACAGTGCCAACATAGCCCACAGTGCCAGTACAACTCACAGTGCCAACACAACCCACAGTGTCAACAAAAGCCACAGTGCCAATACAGCCCACAGTGCCAGCACAACCCACAGTGCCAACACAAGCCACAGTGCCAACACAATCCACTGTACCAATACAGCCCACAGCGCCAACGCAGCCCACTGTGCCAACACAGCCCACGGTGCCAACACAGCCCACGGCGCCAACACAGCCCACGGCACCAACACAGCCCACGGTGCCAACACAGCCCACGGTGCCAACACAGCCCACGGCACCAACACAGCCCACGGCGCCAAAACAAGCCACGGCACCAACAACCCACAGTGCCAACACAGCCCACAGTGCCAGTACAACTCACAGTGCCAACACAACCCACAGTGCCAATACAAGCCACAGTGCCAATACAGCCCACAGTGCCAGCACAACCCACAGTGCCAACACAAGCCACAGTGCCAACACAAGCCACAGTGCCAATACAGCCCACAAGGCCAATACAGCCCACAGTGCCAATACAACCCACAGTACCAATACAGACCAGTGCCAACATAACCTACAGTGTCAAAACAGTCCACAGTGCCAACACAACTCACAGTGCCAAACAGCCCAGGGCCAACACAGCCCACAGTGCCAACATAGCCCACGGTGCCAACACAGCCTATGGTGCCAACACAGCCCACTGTGCCAACACAGCCCACAGTGCCAACACAGCTTATGGTGCCAACACAGCCCACGGTGCCAACACAACCCATGGTGCCCAAACAACCCACGGTGCCAACGCAACCCACATTACCAACATAACAATGCTAACAAAACCTTGACAGTAGCTAACGGATGCTAGCCTTTCTAACAAGAAACCTGGTGGCAAGAGTTGCTATTCCATTATACAGAGAGCTGTTCAGACCTCATCTGATGTTTTGCGTTCAGTTTTGGGCACCCAATCGTAGGAAGCACGCATTAGCCTTGGTGGATGTCCAGCCGCGATTCACTAGATAAAGACCAGGCAGTGAGGGGCTTAGCAATGACAGACTGAGTAAAAATTGTATTTGTTGCCCAGACCTGAGGAGGGTAAAAGTGGGGATATGCCCAGTCTGTTTGAGGTGGAAATCACACAGGGTTGGAAATGACCATGATGGTTCACCTGGTTGGCACCAAAGGAAATTGCACATCACACACTATATCGCCAATTTAAAAAACATTCTTTACTGTTTTCTGTCACTCAGCCAGCATTCTGTCAATGAGGGAGCAAGAACTCATTCAAGTGGGTGGGTGAACAGATATAACTACTTTACACAGAGATTGGAACTGTGTGGGACATAAAAACAGTGCCAACACAATCCACAGTGCCCATACAACTATAGTGCCAATACAATCCACAGTGCCCACACAACTACAGTGCCAACACAACCCATAATGCCCACACAACTACAGTGCCATCACAATCCAGACCTGAGGAGGGTAAAAGGATGATTTGTTTGAGGTGGGAAACACACAGGATTGGGAATGACTATGGTGGTCTACTTGGCTGGCACCAAGGAAAATTGAAAGTGGGGTAATTGTGGTGCTTGAAAGAGAGGGTATAACAACAACAACTTGCATTTATATAGTGCCCTCCATGCCGGGCGGCATCTCTGAGCATTTACCAATGGCGGAGCCTGAGGGGAGTGGGAAGGTGACTATAGGCACGGTTGAAGAGGAAGGTCTTAAGGCGCGACCTGAAGATAATAATAATAATAATCCTTGCATTTGATATAGAGCCTTATCACGTCTTCGAGACGTCTCAAAGCGCTTCACAGAATAAACTAGAAAGTGAATTGACTGTATATTTGTGGGAGAAAAACGTCAGCCAATTGTGCACGGCAGCGTCCCACAAACAGTCGTAGAGTGAAGTGACCAATTTTTTTTTTGGAAGGAGTTTTTATTATAAAATGTCTCAAAACGTTTTATAGATATTGTTGAATGTTCTTGATGGAAAACTTGTGACGGTTAGAAAATAATTGTGAGCTGTGCAGCACTGACCTGATGGCCCGGATCAGGGTCTTCACGATGGGGGTCATGTCCTCCATGCTGATGTCACAATGGAACGCCTTCTCGTCGTAACTGTCCTCACTCTGATTCTCCACTTTAAAACAAAACAGGGATTGTCACGTTCCACTCAACACACCAGCGCCCCAGCTCCGGCATTCACACACCGGAAATTGGGATTGTGCGCGTCGCAATGATGGCCTGGGGTTAGGGTGGTGATTGAGGCCTGGACTTAGTGTGGTGATTGAGGCCTGGGGTTGGTGGTTGAGGCCTGGGGTTGGTGGTTGAGGCCTGGGGTTGGTGGTTGAGGCCTGGGGTTGGTGGTTGAGGCCTGGGGTTGGTGGTTGAGGCCTGGGGTTGGTGATTGAGGCCTGGGGTTGGTGGTTGAGGCCTGGGGTTGGTGATTGAGACGTGGGATTGGTGACCGAGGCCTGGGATTGGCTTGTATCTTGTGGAACATAGCTCCATCACTGGTCTAAGATCAATCTCTGAACAGTTCTAACGAGAAATATCCAAGAGGGTGACTGTATTTGTTGTTTCAACAAACAACAGCACCCCTGGAATACACTGCCTGAGAGTGTGGTGTAAACAGATTCAATAACAACTTTCAAAAGGGAATTGGATAGGTGCTTGAAAAGGAAAAATTTGCAGGATATGGGGAAAGAGCGGGGGAGTGGGAATGATTGGGTAACTCTTCCAAAGAGTCAGCACAGGCATGATGGTCCGAATGGCCTCCTGCGCTTTAATGTTCTATGATTCTATGAGGGAGTTGGAAAATCTGCCCAATTACTACCTAGAAATCCCTTCAAATGGTGTGCGTGTGGATATCCACTGAGGACAGAATCTGGCTCAACTGCCCCAATAGTCCAATAACCTGTGACACTCACTGTGACTCACAGAATAACGGTGATGGTTCGAGCAAATTGCTCAGGGATGTCATTGGTACCTCCCTCGGTGGAAACCCCCCAGGATTGAACACCTTTAGGGAGAGTTTTCAACATTTCATAACACATTAACCCTGAATTAGTGCAAGGTAACATTACAAAATGCCTCCAAACTTTATTGCTTGGAAGTGTTCAACATAGAAGAAGACCACTGTGTGCAAACAGAGAGAACAGGAAATATTGAAAGAACAGAAAGCTGGAGCCTCCTCTCCGTACTTACTGTCCACCGTTTGTCTGGGCTTCAGGCGGAGAGATGCCCGGAAGCGGGTCCTGTCATTGAAACTCCAGCTCTTCTGTACCTTGTTGGGACTGATTTGTGTTGCGTTCTCTGTGCTGGGTGAGCGTGTGATGCTTGGAGCTGATGCCTGTTTGGTCCTTGTGCTCTGAATCCGGGGACTATTTATTTTCATCCGATCTCTGAAGCCCAGCTTCTGGCTATAAATCGGGAGGGAGAAGCATAAAAAAAACCTCGCCGTCCACAGTCCAATTTAACAAACAAATGGCACATGTTCAAACAAAGCAATCCACACACAAGAGTATTGACATCAACTTGTGCGATCTCCAAATGATGGAGATTTTCCAAACTTCCACACTTGTAGTGCTGTAAAAATATTGGAGTGAAAAATATGGTATTTCTTTATTAATGTCATGAAATTTTGCATTTTCCCATTCATTCATGGAATCCCACCCGGGTTTGGCAAACAGCACTTTCATCTAAGGGCTCGCGCTCTCCTATTGCTGCTCACAGAGATCGACTTACAATACTTAAATTCAGGTAGTGTCCTGCATAGCAAAGCTCCAAAGCTGGTCCAGGATCATTGTCTGAGTCTGACTAGCAATATTCAGGATAGTGACTGAATTTGTTGTTTCAACAACAACTTGCATTGACATAGCGTCCTTCACGCGGGGTAGTGTCTCGGAGCGCTTCAATTGACCTTAGGAGGAAGTTTGGATTGGAGTTGGATTTGGGATGTATGGCCAGGAGTGGATGGGAAACTGCAATGTTTCACAACAGGTTTAATGTGATGATTATCCAATGTGCGAAACCCATAGAATGGGTGCTTGCCTAGATTGGGTTGGCTCCTTGAACGGTTTGTCTATCCCTTGTCTCACTTACTCACTTGGGTAGTTATTGGAGTTCATTGCTAGCCGAAACTGAGAGACCTTCACATTTGTTTTGATTTGCAAAACATTTGCGGCCCTGTAAGCTCTCTAAACATGTTCTGGAAGTTTACGGCTGAGAGCTGTGGGTGGGTGTTACGGTAGACATATTGCATCACCACCAATAATGCCCTTCTCAACGGACACCGGATGAGGTGGCAGTTCGCAGCCAACAGGTGATTGAGAGATGATGACTGAGTAGGAACTCACATGCCAACGCAACATTACACAAATGCTACGCACCAAAGAAACAAGCTCATTTTAAACATCTACGGAAAGCATGTGAAGACAACTGGTCTGTAAGTACAATTCACTGGAGTGTTTGTGCGTAATCTTGGAGAGGAATCGTCTACCTGGCATAGCGTTTGGCTAACCTTTGTTAGTTTACATGTAAATACAAACTTCATTGGTATCAATATGTCATAGATGACACATATCTTTCATTTCCTACTCAATCAAAACAAACCCTTGCTGAGGAACTATTGATGAAGTGAGTGCTCCTTTATGAGGTTTATGTTTATCCAGCATGGTAAGGGGTAATACCTGTGTTACTATACGTAGCTCTCAGCAGGGTAGGAATTCACTGTGTTACTGTACAGTTACCAGCTATTAGCTAAAGGTGCTAATCTCTAACAAAGAACCTTGTTCATGGTTTTTAAGCAAACAATGCCCTCTGCAATGTCATCACACATCTCAACAGTAATATGTTTGCCATAATTTCCAAACTACAACTGTTATTAGTCAAATCTAGGATAATACAATAAAGAGCCTGACAGAGATGTGATGGTTAACTTTACAGAGAGAATCTCGCATCAGGAGAATGTCAATCGTAAGACCACTTGTAAAGAGGGTACAAAGGCATTCACCATTTGTCAGGTTGGTCCCAAACTCCAAACAGTGTTGTTCTCTATCTCTGATGCCCTGAATCCCAATGCCTGCTACACCTATCCGCTGTAATACCTTCCTCTGCCCCCTTCACTACCTCTCAACCTGGTCCACACATTCATCAGCCTCTGTGGTACACAGTGTTCTAACATAGAAACAGGCCATTTCAGCTCATTGAGTTTGCACTTGTATCCTAGAGAGCTCTCAAGTGTTTCTTGGGTGCGTGCAGGGAGACTGAAGGAACGTAAATAATTTACAGAAACCCACAATGTTACAGGGCCAAAGCAGGCCATTTGAATGGCCCATCAAGAATTCACTGGTGATTTTCTCCATATGAGGTACCTAATCTATTCCCACTCTGCTGCTCACTCCCCAAACCCTTTAAAATTCCTCCTATTCATGCAGCTAATTTTCTTTTAAAGAAACTTATGGAATCTGCTTCAGCTGTGGTTTCAATGACATTCCAACTGTTTGCTTTGTAAAGAAAGTTCTTCTAACCTCTACATGAATTACTGGGTGATTATTTTAAACTTGTTCAACAATCCTTTCATATTGTACTCCTTCTGGCGATATCTCACAGATTATTGCTTGATATAATCCTGCTATTAGAGCTAGGATAATAATAATAATCCTTGCATTTGATATAGCGCCTTATCACATCTTTGAGAAGTCACAAAGTGCTTCACAGAATATACTGTAAAGCGAATTGACTATATATTTTGTGGGCGAAATGTGGCAGCCAATTGCACACAGCAGCGTCCCACAAACAGTCATGCATTGAAGTGACCGATATATTATTTTTTTTTGAAGGAATTATTACCCCCAGAAAAGAGATCCGCCAATCGACTAACAACCGGGTAAACAGGCAACGTTTCACCCTGCCGGAAATTGAACCCAGGTCCTCTCACTTGCGAGTGCTCTAACCACTGAGCTACAGGACTCCACTTCCATATAGTTGTCACTATATTCATCCATCTCGGGCCATCTCACTCAGTTTTGACTTAATGGCTGACATGTCTCAAGCTCTGAGTCTCACTGATGACCCAGAGAGAGATTGGTTACTACAGACCTGCCTGGCTTTCATCTCAAAATGGTGTCCAACTGAGTGAATTCACTGGGATTTGATCGCAGATCCTTTAAGTTCTAGAATTTGATGCTGAACCAACTCATTGTGGATGGACTGTTAACGAGAGAGTCTCACCATCAGGAATTTGTTTAGTCAGTCACTGTCTGACAAACGCAGAAACCTATCACCATGTTTAAGAGTATCCATGATAAACTACTGAGAATTCTACAAATGCGGGTGGGCAAGGAAGGGTGGTCGAGGTCAGGACACTGGCTTTTTTGTTCTGGAGTCATCAAATTTTCCATCCGGACCAAATGTTTAATGACATTTCCATTTGTCTATAATACGGTGTGCATTCTCTGCCTGTAGGGTCGTTCCCTGCTCACCTAATCCCGGAAAGATTTAGGTGAAGGTTAGGGATCCCAGAATGTAGGTTTAGAGGTACTACTACAGTTTAACCAGCTAAAACATTTTGAACATTTCAAACGCTGACTGGCCAGCTTCTTCTCCAGCTAGTTACTCAATACTCATTAGGGTTTATATTTGTAGGGTTAACAGGAGCCGAGTGGGAAGAATCCTTGCTCTCATTGACTGGTCTGGCCTCCAATTTCTGTTGATTAGCCAAGCTGACTGGTTTGTCATCAGCAATGGCTTGGAGTAGTTCAGACTTGCCTGGCTCAGGAACCGGAGGAGTGAGAACACCTTCGCTTCAGCATTTAGTTACTTTTATTAATATAAGATCTGTCTCACGTTTATTGATACAACTAGTGAGCAATCTGATACATGATTATAACAGGGAAATATTGTTATGTTGAGTTCAGTGTAAGACAAAAAGCCAATGTTTCAAGAATTTCAAGAACCTAAGAACTGAGTCATAAACATCAGGCAGTTAAAATAGACACAGCCTCTCGACACGTCAATGCTGTTTGTTACTAGTTCGCTTGTAACTATGTGATAAAAATGTGCTTTGTGATGTTATAATTGTCTCACATCAGTGAAAGTACAATCTAAACCTGTTTCTCCACCCCTCCTGATCCCAACCACCAGTTGACTGTCCACCACCTTGGGACGTCCTCCTGACATGAAAGGGCGCTATACAAATATAATTTGTTGTTGTTTCTAATTACGTTCATAATGTTTCAGCCTGAAACTGGCCAACTCTGCTAACTGCTGCTGTCTTTATTGTTGTCGCCTGTGATCACTGTCCTTCAGTCCAATCGCAATGATGGAGTTATTTACTCCTTTCAGCGGGTCAGAGAGACAGTGGTCTCGGGCGGAGATATCAACGTAATGGCGTGCAGAGGCGTCAGGACACATTGCTATGTTAAATTTGGAGGGCGAGAAAGAGAGAGGCGTTCACTTCCAAACCCTGTTGATGATTAAAGAGAGGGTTTGCTTCGCGGCTTCGCACAACAACAACAAATTACACCTGTACAGCGCCTTTCACATCGGAAAGACGTCCCAGGGCACATCACATCGCGCATTTTTCACTCCTGTCTCCAAACATGCTATTGCCTTCAGCTGTGGAATCTGCATTGTGTCAGTGAGCCTCACAGGTCTGTTTCCCCCCACAGTGACCAGCAGTGCAGACAGGGAATCATCCAGGAGAGAGAGAGAAAATCAGAGAAGCGAGCATCAGCAGTAAACATCTGTAAGAATCTCGGAGATAAGTATTACAAATTACATTTGATCGGCTGCTTTTTACTCCCTAAGCTGGGTACGTACATGACATGTTCATGGCATGTCTGTGGCATGTCCATGATATGTGCAATGGAATAAATAATTAGCTGCCCTGGTCAGTTCTGAGTTAGCTGACGCTAGTGGGTGTTGGGCAGACACTAAACTTGTCCTCAGCGACCCTGAGCTAGAAAAAAATGAGCAGCATTTTGCGTTCCTCCCTCATTCAGGTACACCAGAACACAGATACATTAGTCTCATCGCCATGTGTGGGATGTTAACCGCACCCGTTAATAAACTTTATTATACCCATTTTTCTGACATATTTCGATGTGATTTTTTGGGGGGTTAGCCTCGTGCGGAAACCCATCACCGTTACTTAAGAGTATCCAAACCAAACCGAGAATTTCATGCATCCCACCTACACATGGAAATCCCAGAAATAGATTGATGGAATGGAACGCGCACTCTCTCCCTGGAGGGATGCTTCCTGCTTACTTAATTCTGGAAAGTATTAGGCGCAGGTTGACAAGAGCCAAGGCTTGGGGACCCCTGAGTGTGGATTGGGGTAACCGTTGGTGTCTAACCAGCTAAAACATAATAGCTTGCAGTTGATAGCACTGTCTGCCAATCTTTCCTGCTAGGAACGTCCTATCCATTGGAGCTTAGTGGGAAGATTCCCTGCCCCCCAGTGACTGGCTTCAATGTTTGAATGTGATAAAGTACTAGATCAAAAGCAAATAATACAATTCACGTTTCACTCACTTCCTTCTCCCCTTACCAACCCTCTTCAGCTCCCCTGCGTACTCGCTTGCCCAGGCAGCTGTGTGAAGTGCTTTGAGACGTCCTCCAGACGTGGTGAAAGGACCTATATCAATGTAAATTATATTATATTTTGCGAAACTTGTGGGGTAGTACTCTAACACTGGTCCCAGAGTGGATAACAAGTACCTTTGTTCCTCTAAAATAGTGCCAAACAAAATAGATTTTTGTGCCAATATCTTGAGGCAGGCTGGGGGGAAGCTCAATAATTATTTGGCTGAAATTCTACTGTACAGATGTGATGTGGTAATTATGAAACATTGCAATTTTTCATTCCTCTATTTCTAAACATCAGACAGCACATCTATCTTGTCACAGTTACACTGTGGATCACTATCTGTGTCTCACGGTGCACACAGCTGAGTGTAGTATCCATGCTCTGTAAAGAGGGAGGCAGAAATAGACTGAAGGAACCCGAACACGTTCAGTGAGAAACAAGCAGACATTCCAACGCACCAGACAGTGACAGATTGAGAGACAGGCAGCCTAGCAAGCAGACTGGGACAGGCAGACAGAGCAAGACCGACACACAGAGAGTTACAGCAAATGACAGACCAGAGCGCTGCCGACTGACAAACAACAGGTCCTGGGATATTATTCTGCATCGAACAGGAACAGAAGGAAAAGTAGGGCAATATTTCACAAAGACAAACAAGACAAAAACGTCAGCAGTTCTAAGAAGTTACGTGCCAGGATTCTCAGGGAATTCTTTACTCTCTGCTTCTAATTGTCTAATTACTCAAGTGTTGCTGCTTGTGACAAGTTGCAGCCAGTGTACGTCACTGCTGTCCGCAGTGCATCTCGCTCAGATTCTGCTGAGTCCTATCTTGCTATCACTCAGAGCCAGCAGGGTCTGCGTGAGGTCAATGGAGGTGTGTTGCCTCTTTTACACAGTGACAGAGCTCCTACTGTTGGGAGTCCGACTGACAATAAAAGAAAGTCCATTTTGAGGAGTTTATCTGCCAGGCCCCTCGATGAACTGGTTTCAAGATCCCAAATTCTCAGCTTGCGAGACCATTTTGTCTCAAAAACTTAAGAATGCGCAGAATTGTGCAAAATTCTTAAAATCAGTCAATTTAGAAGCTGGATTTCTGCAACTCTTAAAGACAGCGGGGGTTCAGAGTTGCTGATTTTAAGAACAGTTCACATTTGTGGATGGTTTTAAATTTGAAAACATTAGATTTCAAGACTTTACAAAGAACCAGAGGGGAGACGAGGAGAATGTTTTTTTACCCAGAGAATGCACTGCCTGAAAGGGTGGTGGAAGCAGATTCGATAATAGCTTGCAAAAGTGAATTAAATAGGTACTTAAAAAGAAAACATTTTGCAGGGCTATGGGTTAAGAGCGGGGGAGTGGGACTATTTTGTAGCTCCTTCAAAGAGCAGGCAAAGGCACGATGGGCCGAATGGCTTCCTTCTATGTTACAAGATTCAATGTTTCTATGATTCTATTCTATCGGTAATTCCAGAGGAATCCCGGGGAAGAATGAGAGAGGTTTGTGTATATCGATGACATTGGAGTTATTATTAAGGCAGAATCTGTTCTGCACTTGGATGGAAGCAGACGTTCAAATATAAAAACATCACGAGCGCTGCTTGTAAAGCAGAGGCGGCTCAGTGTGAAAGGGGTGAGACAGAAGGTTGGAGAACCAACCAGTCAATTTATGAGGAGACGTATTTTGCTATAAATATTATAATATGGGCAAATATTCCTGTCCGACTCTGCCTGTGTCGATTCTCCCATTGCTTCCGCATTCCCGAACTCTGGAGCGACACATGGCAGAGTCAGAGCAAGTGTAGCCGGTGACGCCCATGAGGACATCTCAACGTCATCGTGTTTGGGGAGATTCTAACCAGACACTAAGCCAATCGGGAGGGCAGTAATCCCATGCGCTCAGCAAAGAAGGATGTGGGAGGTCCTCAAAGTCTAGCTTAATCTGGATTTTGTCTGGATTTTATATTAGGTTAATAAATATTCTCGGCGCATAATCATTCCCCGCGTCGCCCCCATCCCAGGCTCCCATCTCCCCAATCATCCCATGCACGAACCAAGCATAGACTCATCTGCATCAGGCATCTGCGATTACCTACTGGAGAGCAGGCTAGTCTCCATGCGCGGGGAAAGCAGGGGATTCTAGGCGGAGGGACGGGTTCATGCAGATTCAGTAAGATGGCATTCCAAAGGGTCATTTGACCCTCCATCCAGGCGATTGATACCTCAGTTTCCGTGTGGTCTGAATCCGGAAGAAATTCTGTTTACTATTAAAGAGATGGCTAGGAGCCAAGAGGAAGATAAAAAGAAAGGATAACGTCACTGAACACATACATTAAGGAGGGTTATCGGGACTGAAAAAAAATTACTCAAATTCCTCCCAAATCCCAGGAAACATGGAATTTGTTCCGTCAAAAAAACAACACCTGCAGCGTCATATCTATTAAGCTGTGGAAAACCACCATTTACAGTCTGCGGGTCTTTCAGGGACAGCATAACAGGTTAAACAATTCCACAGACCCATTCTCACTCCTTTCCTCACAGCCCAAACAATGTTAATTTTTTTGGCAAATCATTCAGCCCACTGATTCAGAACCAAAGTCCACTCCATCAACTGCAGGATGGAGGAAGAGAGTGAAGGGAAAGAAAAGGATTAGATGTTCTGATGCAAGACATTTACCCGTCATCTTGTAATCCCCACGGGTCCAATTGACATTTGGAGGCTGCTTTACCAGATACCTGGCACAAGAGGCCCTCAGAGAATAGAGTTTGTTTGAATGGCAGAAAAATAGATTAACATTTGAATTTACTCCACAGGTCCAGTAGATCACAACAGGCCCACCCTTGCAAGGAACTCATCTCTGGGAATAATGATACAGTTGAAATGAGGTAATACTAAAACTGAACACGTCGGCGGTTACAGGACTGTTCTGGTCCTTTTCTGAGTGGTCCCCCACTTTAGGAAAGATGTCAAGGTTGTTGAGAGAGTACAGAAAAGATTCTCTCAGATGGTCCTAGCAGTGGGAGATTTTACTGTTGAGGAGAGATCAGTGAATAAGAAGAGAGAAGGGTGAGGACCTGAGAGGGTTTTAATAAGGGAAAAAGAGAGAAGCTACTTCCCCTGGTTAGCAAGTCAATAATTAGAGAGCAAAACTTTAAGATCTCTTTTTCATACACTCTAACACGTGCCCACAAAAACACTACTTTAAGCTATTTCAATGTAACACGACATTGTAAAAATAAAATGCTGTCACTTGTCATTAAGAGTACTGTGGTAATGTGCAGTCATTTACAGCAAATGATTTGGAATGCCAGTTATCTGCATATCCGTTTATCCACATAGGGCTTCAGTGTGGAAGTGGGCATTGCACTGTGAAATTCTGGGAAAAACAAAATCCAGTTATGTGCATGTGAGCGAGATTATGAGGGACACAATTTCCCCACACACTGTTCCATTAAACTGAGTTCCAAAAGATCATACACGCACACAACTGGATTGTATTTGCTCATGGCACAAAGGTAAATGTTTATACACTTGCACAGTGTAGTGTCAGAGAAAGAGATAGAGAAAGGTGTAATGTGATTTAGAGACAGAGATTGATGGAAAGTTAGACATTGAGAGAGAGGGACTCTGAGATGGAGGAATAAGGCAGAGAGAGAGAGAGAGAGAGAGAGAGCATGTGGGCTGGCACTGTGTGGTACTTAGAATAACAGTACAACTCCTGATTAACCATGTTTTGGTTGGCACTGTTGCCAATTTATATTTTGCTTATCTGGAGCAGGGCCGATCCCAATTAGTACGGATAATCGGATCTCTATTGTAACTTGTCATTTTGAGTCAAATGGTATGAAGTTCACAATTAATCCGATAAAACTATTTGTACCAATTTATTCCATCCAGTAATTCCAGGTCAAGTACAGCACAAGTCAGATATAGAGTAATGCTCCCTCTAAACTATCCCATCCAGAACTCCTTAGTACTCCTTAGAGTACAGGTTAATTATAGATTAAAGCTCTCATTCAAGCACTCTTAGATACAGAGTAAAGGACCTATGTTTCTTTACCTACATCCCCAAATAGTCTAAGAACCTGCCTTTAATATTGCTCTCCTGATTTGCCCTAGCTCAATATTGGAGTGTACCCAATAAACCTCCCGTAGCTTTGGTCTGGGACTCTGCTTTACACTATTCATGGCTATTCAGATGTTCCTCACGATCAGTCTTAGGACTGTTACCTTAAAATGTCTGATTGTGCAGGATTTCAGGAAATTCCGTATTAATTTGGGAAGGCCGGTTCTTTTTCAGATATTCAAAATGCTTTGAGATGTTCTTTTCCACAAGAGGCCCTTTATCAATAATAATAGTAATCCTTGCATTTGATACAGCGCCTTATCACATCTTCGAGATGTCTCAAAGCGCTTCACAGGATACACTGTAAAGTGAATTGACTGTATATTTTGTGGGCGAAACACGGCAGCCAGTTGCGCACAGCAGTGTCCCCCGCAAACAGTCGTGGATTGAAGTGACCAAATATTATTATTATTAATGCAAGTTCTTGGGGCTGACTCAATGGGTGATTATCCCAGTGGGGGGTTGCCCCAGTCCCAGTTTGGTGAAGTCTCTACCCTGAAGATGGAGATGAACTCACACACCTTCATTCCTGGCTCAGCATATACTGATTACAAACAGACAAGATTGTAAGTGGCTGCTTCACACTGATATCCTGGGATTTACTCAGATCCATCAGAGAGGAGAGCTATTGTCCAGAGACTTGCTAATGGTTCTATGATGTTAATTAATCTGACAATTAAAATAACTGGTAAAGATGATATGTGATGTTATAATTATCACCGACACCCTGGTCCCAGTGGTGGGTTGCAGCAATTTAGTCCAGCTTCACCAGACACTGTTCTAAAATTAAGATAAGACATTAACATTGCATGTTAAACTGCCCATCTACAGCCTGAAATCAAATGCTAACCAGAGAGCCTTGTCGGCAATTTCATTCTGAAAACCCTGCAGGAGAAACCAACCAGAGTGGGATTTGTAGAGACACAGATACACCACATAAACACACACACAGATACAGACACACCACATACACAGACACAGCACATACACAGACACACCACATATAGATACACATATACCCAGACGCACACAGATACAGACACACACAAGTACAGACACACCACATACAGAGGCACATACAGGCGAATGTGCATGGGCACACGTACAGACAAATACACACACATAGATACACAGACAGACCAACATGTAGACAGACTTGAAGACAGACCAACACACACGCACCCACACACACAAAGAAACAAACAGACATATGCAGACACACACAGAAAGACACAGATATATTCAGGAGTAGATAGACACACATAGACTCAAATACACACACACAGATATATGCAGTCACAGACATACACAAACACAACAGCAAATAACAATAACTTGCACTAATATAGCGCCCTCCATGCAGGGTTGTGTCTCAGAGCACTTAAAGGTAGCGGAACCTGACTCCGAGCCAGTGGGTGGTGGGGGGTGGGGGGGGCGGGTTTGATGGGAAAGTGACCGTAAACACCTCACACACACATAGACCCAAATACAGACACACAGACACACAGACATGTAGACACAGATGAAAGTTTTAGTTGCAGGTAAATATATTGACCACCTACCTCTCACCCATATTATAGGGCGGAACATTTAGTCTTTGACCTGAATGAAATGCATGTATCCGCGGGGACTCTTCCTGTGATTTTTTGATGTCTGAGGGCCTGAGTCCACCACCATTACGAGAGCGACTGAGTATTTCCAGCATGACTGCCAGTTCTCTAGAGTTTGATGTTAATAAATGAAAACGATCATTCTCGTCTAATGTCAACAGTTCGACTTAAAGAGACAGTATCCTGGGTAGTTTGCACGGTCTGAATTTCAGCGCCCAGACAAAGCTGCTCAAACTCTCTTTGCGTTTTCCCAATTTGGTTCAAAATCCGCTCAAGTGACAATTCATCATGTGTGAGCCTAGACAGTGAATGGTAACGTGAGATATCTGTGAGGAGTCTCACAGTCAAACACAATTCATGTCCCAACCTGATAGATATAACACCACATACGCTGGATCGGGGAGCTTGGCTGAATCTTCCTCCCTCCAACCCAGGGTGGGGTCGGGGGAGAGGGGGATGGGTTGGGGGTGAGGGGGATGGGACACAGGGTCAGGAGAGAGAATTGATCATTTATAGAATCGCAACAGAGGTCACCCTGCGGCAGGTGAGCTATTGGGAAAACGATTACATTGGAAGCAATGTTAAAGACGCAAAGGAGCCCCCAAGCTCAGTGACTGCGTGGCACAGAGATGGTGGGCTCCGGCCTTAACCCAGTCAAGGGGTGGCTGACTTGTAGCCCCCAATGCTAATTGGGAAGTGAGCGGAGCAGGTGCTAGGGGGTTCTTGACAAACTACAAATATAAGTGACTAAGTAAGAGGAAAGAGAGCCAAGATATCAAGATGGGCAGCTTTAAACTTTATAAAGTGTTTCTCATGGATCTTGTGGTTTTAAGATTAGGCATACACTGTTCTAATTCTAATAATATCCATTCAGCTCATTCAACCCACTGCTGGTTTGGGATCAGAAATTACTGGCATTAACATTACAGTTAATCCACTCAGCCCTTTGCCTTGAGGAGAAACCAATGAAACCCTTTGTTGGGGTGGGGGGGTGGGGAATGATGTCTCCTCGGAGGTGAACTGAGAAGAGGTATCTAACAAAGCCAGGTGACTCTGTGATAATAATAATATAATAACAATCCTTGCATTTGACACAGCACCTTGTCACGTCAACAAGATGTCTCAAGACACTTCACAGGATATACTGTAGTTTTGACTCTATGTTTTATGGGCGAAACGCGGCAGCCAATTTGCTTACTGCAATGTCCCACAAACAGCCACGGAGAGAGTGGCCAATTTTAACGCCCACCTGAACAAGCAGACGAGACCTTGGTTTAACGTCTCATCCGAAGGACGGGATTATCCAATCTAATCCAAGTGCTGTTGATGGTTGACCAAAGACTTGGAGGTGAGACAGGTCCTTCAGCCAATTACAACTAGGAGTTTCCTCACTGGACATGGACAAGGACCGTGAAACATCCTAGCGTGCTCCGTTAGGATCGATTCACACCCATTTAACTGTCTCTTTAATTCGTAACAAAAACAAAAATCAGTTGAGTGTGTTAGTGTTTCAGGTGATGCCGTTCATTTGAAAATGTCGGTGAAAGGTTTCAGAGCCTCAAAGAGTGAGTTCTACATCTATTTGGTGCTTTGTGAAGCGGGTGTGAAAGAGCCGACAGGTAGTGAGTGGGCAGATGTCCCTCAACCATCATGAAGGTGATAGTTCCCTTGCTACCCTTTTCCTTGAAGTTATCTTGGGAAAACAAGGAGGTAAAATAAAAGTTAATATTCAGACATGCAATGTTAGGAGCATAAGAAGAGAGTGGTACTCACAGCGAACAGAGAGACACACAAAGCAAATGAGAGAGGAACACACACACACCAGACACACACACGACACACACACACAAAGCGAATGAGAAAGGGACACACACAACACATACAACACACACACAGAATGAGAGACACACATAAGTGAATGAGACAGAGAAGGAATGAGCGTGCCTAAACTGCTGATGAAACTAACTCAGACATTCTAAGATCAGTAGTAGCTGTTTCAATCCCTATACTGTCAGTTTCAGGCTGCTGACTACAAAATACACATAAGAACATAAGAACTTGCTGGGAGAAAGAAGACCAAGGTCCATCTAGTTCGCCTTCCACCATCCTGGCAGTCCCTTGACATGTCGTGTCCCAAACTATGTACTGTATCCTGAGATATTATTTTCTTGCAGAAATCTATCTAATTTATTCTTGACACTTTCTGCTTCCGCTGTCTCCCTAGGGAACCTGATCCATAAGTTTATTACTCGCTCACTGAAGTAGCGTTTCCGCAGATCTGTTCTGAATTTATTCCCTTTCGATCGTAGGCCGTGTCCTCTGGATCTACTGTTCAGTACAAGATAAAATAGCTTATCATGGTCGACAGAATCTATTCCTTTCAGAATCTTAAAGACCGCAATCATGGTGCCCTCAACCTTCTCGTCTCCAGTGTGAACATGCCCGGTTTATCTAATTGCTCCCCGTAGTCCAGTGCACAATATTTCAAGTGCTGTCGCACCAGTGATTTATAAAGTGGCAGGATTACCCCACTATTTCAGCTCAATATTGCCCTTTTAATACAGCCTAGCATCTGGTTTGCCTTACTATCGAGCACTGTTGGGATAACTTCACTTTATCAGGATCCCCAGGTCCTTTTCATTTTCCATTCAGATTATTTTCTCTCATTTAAATAATAGTCCCTTCCTGGATATTTTTGTCCCCATATGTAGCACTTTGCATTTCTCTACATTAAATTTCATCTGCCATCGATCTGTCCAATTCCCAAGAATGTTCAAGTCCTCCTGTAACCTATTCTGTTCTTCTTTGCAGTCTAACATCTTCATTAGCTGCCTGTACATTGTATGGTGCTTCCCATACTCCCCGCATTGGGCTTTCTACTGCTGCACTTATCCAAACTGCAGGCCACGATACTTACTACTTACCCTGGTGGAATGAGAGTGGCACTATTAGGAGGAAAGATACTATGTTGGGAAATGACATGGAGGCTGGTGGAACCATCTTTGGCATTTCCCAGTTTAAGTGTATTATCCAGATTCCTGAAACTGCTTCCTGCATGATCTAATCCATGGATCGGATCCTGTTTGAGACGGCTTCTGTACTTTGTTTAGAAATAATGCTTTTCCCCTTGCAATGTTCTATCTGGGTTGGATTCTGGCATCCTTTACCCTGAGCTCTCAACCTCAAAAGATCCTCCTCATAATCTTAACTGAGTTTTATTTGATAAATTAAATTCTAGGGGAAATGGGAGACTCTGATTGAAAAAGGAGACAGACACTAGAGAGGAAGTATTACAATGGCAGATAAGGCCATCATTGAGCAAATTCTATGGCAATTGACAGAAATGCTTCCAATAGCTCCAAGCTAGTGCGACAGAAAAAAGATAGTGTGGAAAATAAATCAGAGGAATCTTAGCTGAGTAATTCCAAAAGGAGCTGGACATGCAGCAGACAAAGGCTGGAATTAAAGAAGAGGTTAGTCACGTTAAAGCATAGTCCGCAAGTGAACAGGTGAAGGAAGACAGCGTCTCTGGATTTAGAGTGGAGATCTGCAGTGTAGCCTAAACCCCCAGCAATCCAACACCGTGACCATTGTGATTCCTGATGGCATATTGTTTCACAAGCCAAATGCAGAAGTTTGCTATAAAAATATTCTTAGAAATGTATTTTAAGCTACGTGATCTCAATCAAAATACAATCCGAGAAATTAGAGACAAAGACTTTTCAGCTCAGGAGGACGCCATTCGGCCCATCGGGTCTGTGGTGGTGCTGGCTTCTGCACTGCACAGGAGTTATTTAATCCAGTTATAAACATAGAAAATTTACAGCCCAGACAAAGGTTATTCGGCCCATTGAATCAACCTCTGGTTAATCTCAGATAAGATTACTTAAACAGAATTGCCACAAGGAAGAGTAGCTTTCAAAACTTGTGATAACATTTACTGATGGCTTCTTTCATATGACAATTAATCACATAATCTGATCTATTAGACTCAGGCAGCGAATGGAGAAAAGTTGGTATATTAATGAGGGTTTGACCCACAGCGCCTTAGAGTATTATGAGTGGATCAGGGTGTGTGTTTGAGCTGTGGGCAGGAGGATGGTGGCAATGCCCTCTCTCTCTCTCTCTCTCTCTCTTTGCATTGACACCCACGTCATCCACATTGGATGCATCTTAGAGCCATCTTAAATCTTCCTATGGTGTTGATTTGGTTGTCAACCTTCCATTGAAGATACACGGGATCCAACACTGCACAATGGTTCTACTGGTCCCTGAATGACAATTATAAAGAACAGTTGTGTAAAACAGGGGGTGACAATGGCGATGTATGATGTGTGAATTAACACTTACGATGCTAAATTAACACATGTGGTAAATTAGTGATCTGTTGACGTTTAATAGATGAACATCTTGTTGGGAGGACCAGCAGAGACTATTGTGTGTGTAGATTCCATGGATGGTTAATCTTCCAAGGATCCAATTTCACAGGGTGTGGCTTCTCTCTGTGCTCAATGGAAAATATTGGGATTTCATTACCGAGTGCAAATAAATATGAAAATCAGGGATAAAATCGAGTTGTTTTAGCAAATGTGTGAATAACTTTAACATGCAGAGAGTTATTACAATATACAGTATTTTGCCACACAGGTCAGTCGAGGCTTGGAGCTTAACCACATTTAACAGGGAATTGGATAAATATTTGAAGAGGTAGAATGGATAAAGGGGTACGAGGATTGGGATTAGAGGGGATATCGTTGGTGAATGAGCTAGTCCAGTATAACCTTGATGAGCTGAACACCTCCTTCGTCTGGGCTGTAATTTCTATGACTTCTAAAAATGATGGATGACAGAGTTAAGAGTCTCTGCTTTCACTCTGGGTTTGGCACTCGTACGCAACAATCGTAACAATTGATTAAACATCCCTGTCAAGTTACAAGTGTTTCCTGGAAAATACACGGGATATATAGTCACCAATTTATAGCATTTTTTTTGTTGAAAGGCGTTATCTTACACAATCCAGGACAGAGTGCAGTGGGAAGAAGTAACTGGCAATATCACTGCCCTGTGTTGGATACATCTTTAAGAATAAATTGATAATTAACAAAAGGGCCAATGAGACGAAGGGCAGGAAGTACAAAAGGACACTGGAAGTGGGACAAAATGTGTGGTTTAGAGTGGTGGATTATTGAGAGTTTGGATTGGCAAATAAAGAAGCCACTAACATGCCCTTGATTTGGATCAACTAATGTTACACCCCGCCCATGTTCTCATTGCAGGGCTGTGAGACACACAAAGCCTGTAGTTATCAGTGAGTACATCAGGAATAAAACAGCACAATACACAACAGAGAGAGAGTATCTCTTTGGTATACAGGTGACACTGGTCTGTTTGCAGGGAGTGTTAAACCTCCTCTGCTAAAAAGAATTGAGGACTATAGATAGGTAATTATTTTTCCAATTTTCTCCTCTCCTTTCCTGATTATTCTGACACACAGTCCACTGTAGCCTCCTGTGCCCTTCCTTTTTTAGACAATACTTAACAATGGCAGGGGGCACCACAGTCAAACCTGACTCTGTCTTCACCCAATGGCCACACATGTAAACTTTTAAGGAGGGTTCACTGGACAGCAATCAGTTCAGGAGTAAACCTGCTGTGTGATCTCCCCCATCCATTGTTCTGGCTCGTCATACACCAGGATTTAAGTCAAACACATGGCTCAGGATCACAATGCACTCATTATAAACTGGATAGAAACAAGCTTGAAACAAGAAAGCAGTTCATCCCACCAAGCCTGCTCCTTCCAGAGCCAGGCTATTAGTGCATCTCACTCAACTCTATTTGCTTGTGTAATGTATTGTATAGATATACATGATCTAACAGTCTAGCAAAAACTCCAGAAAAAATAATTTATCCTCATATTTCCACGACTCACCCCTGGTTTTCCCCCGTTTACAATACCATTATCCAGTAAGCTCCTCAAACCTCAGTTCAGTGGAACATAAATCATTGTGTTCTGTGGGGTATTAATGCACTTCATTCTGCAACTGATCAGAAATTCCCCAATACTCTTCTCAGCTGGATCCACATCCATTTGGTTTTGAAACAGTTAATTGGCACAGCATCAGTTTGTTGGGCACCCGTTCCATGTAATCTTTGTCTGAATTGATTCAAATTTTTAGTCCTGCTAGAGACATTTCAAAATTAGACCTCTTCCCTCCAGTTTTGCCTTGAGGTAAGCTGATGACAAGTATATTATCCTTGGCTCTCAGCATTTAATGACCTGGATCATGCTCCCCTCAATGTTATTTTTTCTAATGAAAACAATCCATCGTTTGAGCCTCTCCTCAGAATTTAGGGATTCACATCTCTTCACAACACTTCAATCTCTTTTGTAGGTAAACTATCCAAACCTACATTCAAATATGACTTTGCCAGTGACCACTGGAAGATTGGAATAATCTCTTTCAATTTAGTGTAAAATATCCTCAAGATGTAACCTGGTAATTGAGCTGGCAGCTTTACTGAAGTAGCTTGAGATGGGAAACTTTCAATGACTGATGAATCATCACACCCAGTTCATTTTCCTCCACCTGTGCTAATGAACATAAAGCAACTGTGTACATGTTAGCTTTTTTTTGTCATTTTCATCACGTTGCTTTTACCAAGATTAAATTACATCTGCCACTCCTTGTTCTATCCACTTAATTGGTTCAGTCATCCTCAATGCTATTTATCCTACTATTCACAAGAACACATACAACAAATCAAATAAATACATTAGGAATTTTCTATATCTTTACAGAAGCTAATGTGATGACACTGTGTATCCTGCAGGTGTACAATTACCTCTTAATAGGAATGGGTTGGAGGGGGGAAAGGATAGAGTCCAGCTAGGCCACCAAGCAAATACTCTCTCTTCACCTGAAAGATCACATAGAAAAGACCAAAGTTGTGGAAATAAACAGAGAATAGGAAGTATTTCTTGCAAAGCCAGGTTAATAAAAAGTACTGTTACTTTAGTGCTGTGCAGGTACATGCCTGAACGAGGGAAGAACGCTGTCATAGTAATACCAGGTGGCTGTCAGGTACGCTCGACTCACATCGGTGGAATATAGACGCCAAGCAGCCTGGGGGAAAGAAAAACACACAATCAAACACTCAAACAAAAAAAATGAGAAAATCTAAATAACCACCAGCACATGAACCTCCCCATCCAACCAACCAGAGGCTCAACAAGAGAGATATGAATGAAGGATACCCTTTGGCCCATTTGATCTCACCCTTCCAGAACATCCACTCCCCTGTCCTCCATTCATAGCATCAAGCTGTATCTGAAATATGTCTGGTGTCCTGGCCTCTGCAACCCTTCCTGGAACCCATCACGGTTGTTCATTTCCCTGTTATTCTAAAGTTGTCCTCCACACATCCTTTGGTCATATTGTTCCAATAATACCCGGCCTGTTGCCGACAATTGCCCCAGGGAGAGGAGTTACTGTGCGCTGGCGGTGAAGAGACTGGCAGTGAACAGAATTAGTCTCAAACATAACGCAAAATCCAACGCTCGTGTGAGATTCACCTCCAATGACTAATTCAATTATGTTGGGTTCGGTTGTGAGGGTTATGAATGGATATGTTTGCTGTGAGGTGCGTCCTATAGAGATTTTTCTTTCTGAAGTGAATATCTTCCTGCCCCTTTTTTTCTCCTTTATTGGGAATAATTTTTGATACTGGCATCTTCTGGTAGGTGGCCAGAGGAGCACGAGTACAGGTGTGGAATAGGAGGAGGGCACAGAACAGCGAGCCTGATCCTGTGTTTATCCAATGTCCATACACTGGACTTTCCAACGGTATGTGGGGTGGGAGGATCAGGAACCAAGATGATGTTTCCTTTCCTTTATACAAGCAAGGACCCATGTGTTAAACCAAAGTGAACTGTTGCTCCTCTTGCTCTAAGCTGCCTGAGTTCCTCTCTTGTTACTGCCTTGTAATCCCCCAGAATTTACATGTGTAAAAACACAAGTCAAAGGTGTGGGAAATGGAACAATATTGCACTGTATAGTAGAGGACGGGAATTCTTTTGAAGTTCGGATTAGAATTGCGCAGATTGATGGGATAAAAGTCTCTCACAGCAAAAACAGATTATTTTAGCAACAGAGTAACTTCAGAAGACAGATTAATAAAACCTTCTGCAGCTCTTTTACAGAATGAGTTTTGAAAAGTCATTTCAAAACTCTGTTGTATAGATACGCATGATCTCACAGTCGAGCAAAAACTCCATAAAAATCATTCATCATCATATTTCCACGACTCAACCCTAGTCTTTCTCCGTCTGCAACACCAATTCCCCCACCCCTTAGTTCAGCGGAACAGAAATCATTGTGTTCTGTGGGATATTTATGCATCTTATTCTGCAACTGATCTGAAATCCTCCAATACTGTTTCTCAGCTAGATCCATATCCGTTCAATTTTGAAAACGTTAATTGATGCAGTGTCAATTTGTTGGGCATTTGATGCACATAACTGTGGGGAATTGATTCAAACCCTAGTTAGTCCTGCTCAAAAATAGAGACTTGTTTGAATCTCTGTTGTGCCTTTTGAAAGGTGTGGCTCATTTAGTAGCACTCTCTCCTCTGAGTCAGAAATTTAGGGTTCAAGCCCCAGGCCAGGACTTGGAGCTCGTATAGTCCAAACTGAAAGTCCAATGCAGCGCTGGGGGATTGCTGCATTCTTCAATCCTTCAAAGTCGTTATGGCTTTGAACAAATGAATCTTGATGTAGAGAAAAGCACCTGCATAGACTGGATGGACTGAATGTCAGTTCTGACGGAAGGTCATCGGCTTGAAACGTTAACCAATTTTCCTCTTTCCATAGATGCTGCCTGACCTGCTGCGCGTTCTCATCAGCTTCTGTTTTTATTTCAGATTTCCAGCATCTGCATTATTTTGCCTTTTTTTCATAAAGAGTACTTCCTAGTGTATTTCATGATGATCAGAAATGAGATGTGAAGGAGATAACTCACTTTTTAGAATGTTTTAAGTTCTACCACATAACTCTATGTATTGTGAACCATTGTATAATAATAATAATCCTTGCATTTGATATAAAACCTTATCACATCATTAAAATGTCTCAAAGCACTTCACAGAATATACTGTAAAGAGAATTGACTATATATTTTGTGGGCGAAACATGGCAGCCAATTGCAGTGTCCCACAAACAGTCGTGGATTAAGTGACCAAATTTTTTTTTAAGGCATTATTGCTTCCAGAAAGTGATCACCAATCGACTAACAACCGGATTCCTACTTACTGCGAGGTAAACAGGCATGTGGACTAAGGGAACTTGACTAAAGTTTCGTCCTGCCGAGGAATTGAACCCGGGCCCTCTCGTTTGTGAGGCGAATGCTCTAACCAATTATTAGACAATGGATGGCTTGCTCTGACGTAAGTAGGTACTCTGATGACCTATTCAAGTTGTTCAGCAGTAACTTTGTTAATGTTTTACACAAGTATTTCTTCAGTAAGTTCAATTCTGGGTTGCACATGAATACAAACCACTAATTGTCAGGGAAGATTGTCTTTGCTCTTATCAAGAGCCAAGGGAATGGAGATGAAGTCATGGATTGCAGCCAGCAGTTGATGCAGAGGTTTAGACAGTCCTTTCATGCAGAGAGCTATTATGATCTTTCTAAATCCACAAACAGAAAGCTTCACATATTCCCTGGTATCACATATTCTGCTTCATTCCCATACAATCCTTCAAATTCACTTTCTGTCAGTGAACCCTCAAAACCTTGGTATTTAAGGCTGCTTGCATTTTAGGTTAAAAGAGCGACACAAACACGATGGATTGAACGGCCTTCTTGTGTACTGTAAATCTCTATGAAACACATCATAGGCTGGATGGGGAGAATAATAATAATAATAATCCTTGCATTTGATATAGCACTTTTCACGTCGGGAGGACGTCCCAAAGCGCTTCACAGAACACACTGTAAAGTGAATTGACTGTATATTTGTGGGCGAATGCGGCAGCCAATTGCGCACAGCAATGTCCCACAAACAGTCGTGGATTGAAAATGACCAATTTATTATTGTTTTTGGTTTTATGAGGGATTATTATTAGGTGTGTGGAGTAAGGAAACTTGCCCAAGGTTTCGCCCTCTGCCTGGAATTGAACTCAGGTCTCTCGCTTGCAAAGCGAGTGCTCTAACCACTGAGCTACAGGACTCTGTAGAATGTAGTGGGTGTGCCGGGAGCATAATTATCTCTGGTGAAATCCAACTACCTCCATCCCCTCGGCAATGGTGGGGTGCAAACCCTGGACTTGTGATACCCTCCCGATGTGAAAGGCGTCATCTATATGTATATATAAACTTGTAAGTTTGTATTTGTAACTTTTAACATTGAATTCAGCTTGTATTTGAGGCCAATAATTCTGAGTCCATCAAGATTGAATGATTTCAGCATACCAAACAGCGGTTCAGTGTTAAATAGGTGTATACGTCTGTCTAGTTAGTTAGCTAGCTAATTAGAGTTAACTAGGAGCTCCACTGAAACACACATGCCCCATTTTCCATTTGAAATTCCAAAGTCCATGGACAATTTAACTGGAAGTGGAACCAAAGGAGCTCAGTGTCCTGTGCTCTGGTGCAGCCCTAGATAGACAGTCTCACTTATCTTCACCTCTATTCTTCCCCAATGTTCCCCATGGCTTCCTCCAATCCCTTTCTCAAAGCCTAGGCATTCAATCGTCATCTCCACTTACCTGAATGAGGTTGGCAGCTGGTGTCCTTCTTTTCTCAAAGTGCTTTTGTCGATGTTGTTCTTGAACCTTCAGAGCAAACCCTGAACCCAGGATTCCCTGTAGCAGAGACGTTGATCAGTAATCAATGGAGGTCCAAGAATGGGTCAAATAACAATTTGTTTAGGTTAGCCGGATGCTTGACACATGTGGAAACCCATCACCATGCTTAACAGTATCCAAACTGAGAATTCCATGTATCCCACCTACACATGGAAATCCCAGAGATAGATTGTTGGAATGGAATGTGCACTCTCTCCTGGAGGGACGCATTGCGTTTACCTAATTCTGGAACGTATTAGTCACAAGTTGGCAAGAGCCAAGTTTTGGGGACCCCAGAGTGTGCATTGGGGTAACTGCTGGAGTCTAACCAGTTCAAATTGCATATCTTGCCATTGATATTATGTCTGGCAAGATTTTTCGCTGCTTGTCCAGCTGGCACCACCCTACCTGTTAGGGATTTGGCTTGCAGGGGTAACAGGAGCTGAGTGGGATGACTCCCTGCTTGCAGTAACTGGTCTGCCCTTCCAGGGCCTGCTGATGAGCCAGGCTGGCTGTGCTATCATCAGCAGTGCCCAAGAATATTGTGCATCTGCCTGGCTCAGTAACCAGACTTCCGAGACCACCACAGGGGGTTAGCTCGATTCTGACATTCTTTTGTCAGGCAATCACCTTGAAGTCAGTTCAGCTCCAAGGAGACCCCACTTACATCAAAGTACAAGGATTAAAGACAATGTGTCAATGCTGAAAATATGAACAACAACTTGCATTTATATGGCACTCTTCACATTGGGTAGCATTTCTGCGTTCAGCATCCCGACAGGTACTTTACCATATTAATAATAATAATCCTTGCATTTCATATAGCGCCTTTCACATCTCAAAGCGCTTCACGGAATATACTGTAAAGTGAATTGACTGTGTAATCCCTGTGAAGGGTTTTGAGACATCTTGCTGATGAGAGAGGTGCGAGACCAAGGAACCCGGTTGTTAGTTGATGTACGGTTGGTGAGGGAAAGGCGAACGTTTTTCAGACAGACATTTGCTAGTCCTATGAGGCCAAATGACCCATTATATCGTGTACTTACAGCTGGGAGTGCGAAGAAGGAGATTCCTAACAGTGCAAATCCTGCCGCCAACATCCGACCCATCCATGTGCGTGGTGTTTTGTCTCCGTAACCAATCGTGGTCAGTGTTATCTGTAACATTGGATAGAAACAGTGTCGAATGATTGTTAATACCGGGGTTAACACCTCTGTGAAAAGTGCTGACAATGACCTCTCTTTCGTGAATGTGCACTGGGTGAAGTCGTCATGTTTGTTGCCGTGATGCGAGCATGTTTATACGTGTTGCCGCCACCCTTTCCCACGTGTGCTCACTGTGGGAATGCACATGGAGTTGTAGAACATGGGCAACAGACACCATTAGTAGACTTATGGAACAGGCTCCCGAGGGAGACAGTGGAAGCAGAAAATATTGTTTGTTTCAAGAACAAATTAGCTAGGTATCTGCTAGAAAATAATACCTCGGGATACAGTATATAGTTTGGGACATGACATGTCAAGCGACTGCCAGGATGGTGGAAGGCGAACTGGTCTTCCTTAGTCTTCTTTCGCCAGTAAATTCTTAAGTTCTTAAGAGTGGTTTCCACCTGGGTCATAGTGTCACCTTGGTGTCATACTCTCTGGTGCCATCTCTCAACTGTTGCTGTCTCAGTTACAGTTCAGAATATGGCGATAGCCAACATCACACTATAGGGTCAAATTTGTGGTGTTTAACAGATTTCTCAATAAAAGTGTAACCATCGATTTTTTAAAGCAACGAGCATGCAAAGAGCACAACGAACAATGCTTAGAAACTGAGGGAAGCATTCTTCAGCATATCTGAAATATGATAATTACAAATGAATGCAAAATCTAGTAGGGAATGCTACAAATCAGAGACCCACTGTAGGCGAGTGCCTGGAGTCGTGCATTTGTAAATAAATAAACCTTTTCTTCTTTCACTGCAGAGTTACCCAGTTTTCTGTTTCTGCATCCAAAATGTCGACTTTCCCTTCCCCTTGGGATGAGTAAATGGCAGCATAAGGCAGGTATTCCCCTGTGCGGTGTGCCTCAAGTGACACGGGCCAGTGGTCACTTCCGCACTCTCAATTCATCCACGTTTCACATGCATCAAGCAGACCTTCCACCACAGGAGGTGTTGTATTCAGCCTCTCTGTCCCCACCCTTTGGAACTCTTTTCCACATTCCCTTCGTCTCGCTCCCTCCCTTGCCTCTTTCAAGGCAGGTCTCAAGACCCTTGTCTTCGACTGTGCCTTCGGCCCCCCTCCCTGATTCCACCCCTCTCCCCACCACCACCGCAACACACCCACTCGGGTCCAAATCCCTGACCATCCAGCGCCTTGGGATGTCCTCCCCGATGTAAAAGGCACTATGTAAATGTAATTTTGTATCAGTATATCTTTGTATATCTAATGCAAGGATTATTATAATATTGCCAGCGGCCCCAGAGAATCCATCAGAGTTCTTCACTGACAATTCCAGGGAGAGTGGTCTCCCGGAATTCAGCCTTCTTTGCTTGCCTCTCCTCACCCTCCTGGCGCCATGATTGCATATCCTTTTCCATTGAAACCAGCACAAATGTACGTCAGCACCTTGTGCTTCATTCTGAAAATGACCTCAGATTAGCTATGGGCCACCAGTCAGATTTTGACCGACCCAGAGACTAACACAGAAAAAGTGCAGTTTCCATGCATTAACATCCGGCTTAAAACCATAAGATGTAGGAGCAGGAGTAGGACATTCGGCCCCTCGAGCCTGCACTGCCATTTAATAAGATCACGGCTGATCTTCTAACCTAATCCCATTTACCCGACCTATCTCCATATCCCTTAATCCCTCTTTTAGATCTTTTAGCAATCTATCAACCTCAGTCTTGAATATGTTCAAGGACTGAGCCTCCACAGCCTTCTGGGGTAGAGAATTCCACAACTTCACTACCCTCTGAGTGAAGAAATGTTTCAACTCAGTTCGAAAAGGCTGACCTGACCCTTAATCTTGAGTCTATGACCCCTAGTTTTAGATTCTCCAACCAGGGAAAAAGTCTCACGGCATCTATCCTGTCGGGACCCTTAAGAATCTTATAGATTTCTATAAGATCACCTCTAATTCTTCTATATGCTAGAGAATATAGGCCTAGTTTACTCAACCTATCCTCGTCCCAGGAACCAACCTGGTGAATCTATGCTGTACCCCCTCTAAGGAGAGTATGTTCTTTCTTAAATAAGGAGACCAAAAGTGGACACAATATTCTAGGTGCGGTCTCACCCAGGCCTTATACAACTGCAGCAAGACTTCCCTACTCTGGTATTCTAATCCTCTTGCAACGAACGCCAACATGGCATTAGCCTTCCTAGTTGCTTGCTATATCTGCATACTAACTTTTTGTGACTGGTGAACAAGGACACCCAAATCCCTCTGAACACTAACACGACCTAGTCTCTCCCGCTCTAGAAAATAATCCGCTTTTCTATTTTTACTACGCAGGTGAATAACTTCACACTTCCCCACGTTATACTCCATCTGCCACCTTCTTGCCCACTCACCCAGCCTGTCTATATCCCTTTGCATTCTTCGTGTGTCATCCTCACAGCTTACTCTCCCACGAAGATTCGTATCATCCGTGAATTTAGATATATTAAGTTCTATTTCCTCATCTAAATCATTGATATAGACTGTAAATAATTGAGGCCCAAGCACTGTGGCACTCCACCTGTCAATCTGAGAAGGAACTGTTTATCCCTACTCTCTGTTTTCTTCCTGCTAGCCACTCTCCAATCCATGCTAATATATTATTTTAAGTGGCACCTTGTCGAATGCCTTCTGGAAATCAAATATAACACATCTAATGGTTCCCCCCTATCCAACCTGCTAGTTACATCCTCAAAAAACTACAAGATTTGTTAAATATGATTTCCCTTTCGTAAAGTCATGTTGACTCTGCCTAATCATGTTATGATTTTCTAAGTACCCCACGATGACGTCCCTAATTAAGGACTCTAGAATTTTCCCTACCACCAATGTCAGACTAAACTGGTCTATGGATCCCCATTTTTGGAGTCCTGTAGCTCAGTGGTTAGAGCACTCGCTTTGCAAGCGAGACACCTGGGTTCAATTCCAGGCAGAGGGCGAAACCTTGGGCAAGTTATCTTACTCCACACAGAGCCTAATAATAATCCCTCCAAAACAAAACAATAATAAATTGGTCATTTTTCAATCCACGACAGTTTGTGGGACATTGCTGTGCGCAATTGGCTGCCGCGTTTCGCCCACAAATATACGGTCAATTCACTTTACAGTCTATTCTGTGAAGTGCTTTGAGACGTCGAGATGGTGTGAAAAGCGCTATATCAAATGCAAGAATTATTATTAATTATTATTAAGTGTGGAGTCCTGTAGCTCAGTGGTTAGAGCACTCGCTTTGCAAGCGAGACACCTGAGTTCAATTCCAGGCAGAGGGCGAAATCTTGGGCAAGTTTCCTTACTCCACACAGAGCCTAATAATAATCCCTCCAAAACCCCAAACAATAATAAAATTGGTCATTTTCAATCTACGACTGTTTGTGGGACATTGCTGTGCGCAATTGGCTGCTGCGTTCGCCCACAAATATACAGTCAATTCACTTTACAGTGTGTTCTATGAAGCGCTTTGGGACGTCCTCCTGACGTGAAAAGCGCTATATCAAATGCAAGGATTATTATTATTATTATTATTATTTTTGTCTCCCACCCTTCTTAAATATCGGCGTTACGTTTCTGACCTTCCAATCAATGGGAACCATTCCAGAATCCAGGGAACTTTGGAAGATCAAAAATAAAGCATCCACTATCTCTGCAGCCACCTCTTTTAAAACCCTAGGATGCAGGCCATCAGGGTCCAGGGGATTTATCGGTTTTTAATCCTATCAATTTCTCTAGTACTATTGCTTTACTGATATTCATTTCCTTAAGTTCCTCACTAACATTAGCCTCCAGGTTCCCCTCCATTTTTGGTAAGTGTTCAGTGTCCTCTAATGTGAAGACAGAAGCACAATATTTGTTTAATGACTCTGACATTTCTTTATTCCCCGTTATAATTTCTCCTGTCTATGCCTGCAATGGACCCACATTCACTTTTGATAGTCTTTTTGTTTATGTACTTGTAAAAACTCTTACAATCTATCTTTATGTTACTAGCTAGTTTACCCTCATATTCCATTTTCTCACTAGTATTATAGGTCTCTTCTTTTAATTTTATTATTTCCCTAACTTCTCTAGTTAGCCAAGGTTGAACGATTTTTCCCGTGGTATTTTTATTTTTCAAGGGAATATGCGATCAGTGGGAATTATGTATTATATCTTTAAACGTTTGCCATTGCTGGTCTACCATCATATTTTTTAATCTAATTTCCCAGTCTATTTTAGCCAAATCTTAGCCAAATGTTTAGCCAAAACATTCTATGGGATCAGCTTCCAAACATCTTTACTTATTGCAGCACATAAAGCTACTGCCGTTTCTCACCTTAGCACCTCACTAATGGACACAGAAACATTGATGGACATTAAAAGCACGAGAAGACAAATGTTCAACTGTGAAACAGCCATGTGAACTTACTGTACCCCACCAAAGGGAGTCTGCGTATGTGGTGAAATCTTTGTTTACATCCTTCTCAGCCAGATAGACAAGGAAAGAGGAGAAAATGAGAACGAGAAATCCAATGTACCAGGCTGTGATCAGTTCCTGCAAGAGAACAAGACAATGTGTCACAAACAGTGATAGCCCAGACAGAAATGTCTGCAGCAAAATGGAACAGTGGTTAAAAGTTGGATCCATGGTCTGTTCTGGTCAGTTCCGAGTAAGGGTATTATTCCTGCAGTGGATAGGACAGTGTAGAGTGAGCTTCACTTTGTATCTCTGCATTGCCTGTAATCACTCAGAGATGCTACCTGCGCAATGTAATAATGGCAAATCATTGCTGTTGCTGTATCTAAACTGGGTGCATCTGTCTACTCTTCTGTTACATAAGAACATAGGAACAGAAGTAGGCCATTCAGCCCCTCGAGCCTGGTCCACCATTCTATTGGATTGTAGCTGATCTGTACCTCAACTCCAGTTACTATTATAATTACAATTTGTTACCCTAGATATACATGAAGTGACACAGGTGAATGGGGGTGGTATAAAGTCGAAGAAATAATAGCAACAACAACGATAGCTTACATTTATATATCGCGCTTCACGTGGAGTATCATCCCGGAGTGCTTCATAGAAATGAGAAGAGCGAAACATATTCTAACCTTACTGTGAGCGTACACCACAGAGCCCAGCAGCTTCCAGGTGCCTCCCCTACGGTCCATTCGCACCATCCGAAGGATCTGCAGGAACCTCATGCTACGAAGTGCTGACGTGGCGAAGATATTCCCTGGGTACCCGCGGCAATGACAGCGACAGAGGCGATAAAAACAATAAAATCTAAAAGAAAGTCAGAAAGGAGGAAGTTACTAAGCAGCTTGAAAGAACCTTGACATCCAGGTAGTGAGGTATCATTTCCCTTGAGGTTACTTTTGAGCATTATATTTCTAGAATGTCCTCTCCTCTATTATTGGCCCCCCACACACACACGAGACGAATAATAATAACAATAATCATCCTTGTATTTGATATAGTGCCTTATCACGTCTTCTTGACGTCTCAAAGCCCTTCACGGGATATACTTCAAAATGAATATAATTCAAAATGAATTGAACGTATATTTTGTGGGCGAAACGCGGCAGCCAATTGCAACCAGCAGTGTCCCACAAAACAGTCGTGGACTGAAGTGACCAATTTTATAATCTCTGAAGGTGCCAGCCTGGCCTAGTTGGCAGCACTCTTGGCTCTGAGTCAAAAGGTTGTGGTTTCAGGCCTCACGCTGTGACTTGGAACTCAGTTGGTTGAGCGTGACACTCCAATGCAGCGCTGGAGATGTGCTGGATTGCTTCAAGTGTGTTGGTGCAAGTGGTTGTGAGGTGGCAGTGAGAAAGACAAGAATGAAATAAATTCATTGTTCAATGACAAATTTAATACAACGGAGACCAGCATGGTTACACATATAGGAGCCCAATAAAACTCTGAATTCTGGGAGATGGGTGTGCAGAGTTTGCAATCCATTCATTGAAACTGTCACTGAAACATTAATAATAATAATCCTTGCAATAGATCTAGTGCTTTATCACGTCATTGAGATGTCTCAAAGCGCTTCAAAGAATATACTATAAGGTGAATTGACTGTATATGTTGTGGGTGAAACACGGCAGCCAATTGCACACCGCAGTGGCCCACAAACAGTTGTGGATTGAATGACCAAATTGGTACTATGTTGTTTATTTATTTGAAGGGATTATTACCGCCGGAAAAGCGATCTGCCAATTGACTAACAACCGGATTCCTACTTACTGCTAGGTAAACAGAGGTGTGTGGAGTAAGTAAACATGCTTAAGGTTTGCCTTGTCCGGGAATCGAACCCAGGTCCTCTCACTTGCGAAGTGAGTGCTTTAACCACTATGCTACAGGACTCCACATTCAGAGGCACAGAATCATGGTCACCTCAAGTCGTCTTGAGAGCAGATGGGGAGCTCCAGGTCTGGCCACGGAGACCAGCAGCAGACATTCACACCCCCTCGTCTGCACAAGAGCACAATATCCCTGTGTGCCCGGGTGATGAACTAAACATTTTTCAACAGCCTAAATACACACTCCATCATCCTGTGAGAACGCCAGGTCCAGGAAGTGAAGCTCACACTGTGCCGCTTCTGTAACAGCTGGGAACTGCACTGAAAGGACCTATGGAGACAACACTGCATCTGTACTGGTTGCAGCTGCTTCCAAATCCCAGTAGATCTGGTCTCAGATTCCCTGACAGGAGGTTTATAGCCTCTCCCGCTCCCTCTGTGGCACTGCAAGATGTCCTCTATAACTCAACACTTAATAATAAGATTTCAGATTCCAAAAATAAATGTACATCTCAGTGCACGGAGCGAACAGGCTGTGTTACAAACGCAAGCCGCTTCCTCACTGAATCTTACCACAGCCCAGTGTCCTGAGTACCGAAGTTCAAGTAATCTTTATTTTCTGTGTGACCACAGTAATTATAATAACAGCTTTCATTGAGACAGTTTAGAGCATGATTTAAACAGATGCTGTCTCCCTTCCAGGATATTCCAGACACGCTCAGTTCCTGATAAATCCTAATTCGAAGAATTCTGGTTTGGAATCCGTGGGTTTCCGTCTTGTGGGAGGGGAATTTTATGCCGAGATGGATGGTAGCTGAGCTGGAACGTTCATATCTTTTCTTTTTAAACAATTTTTTCTTGTTCAAGGTTGCCAAAAAGGATATGTCGTTGCCCTATTTCTTCTCGTTTCTCCTCTCACTCCGGGGAAGCAAATTCTGCATCACCAAACTAGAATGTGGATTTTACTGGTTCAGTTGGTAGCAGTTCGTAGCATCCTCGCCACTGAGTTAAAAGGTTTGTGTGTTCAAGCACAATGTCAGCACCCATAAACTCTAAGCCGACACTCCCAATGCAGTGTTGGGGGGTGTTGAATTGTCCGAGGTTCTATCCTTTGGATGAGTCATTAAACCGAGGTAAAATCTGTTTAGGTGGATGCTGAGGATACCATGTCACAACTCGACTCAGCTGTACAATTCCAATCCCTGACAGTACTCCAGCAATTTGAAAGAAGCGAGTTTCTCATGACGTCCTGGCCAACGATCCCCCAAACAAAAAAATGGTCACTCACTCCACGGCTGTTTGATGGGACATTGCTGTGCGCAAATTGGTTGCCGCGCTTGGCCACAAAATACAAAGTCAATTCACTTTACAATATATTCTATGAAATGCTCTGCGATATCTTGACGACCTGATAAGGTGCTGTATAAATGCAATTTGTTGTTTGTCGTGGAAAAACAACTCAAGAATCTGTGTGATTTGTGTGACATATTTCTAGTTAGCAAAGGAATCTCCCCTTCACTTTCTTAATTAACCCCAAATTAACCCTATGCAATGGCACTTTTGGAATTTCTCCTTATTGCAGCTACAATTCTAGCAGCAACTGATTAGCCAGAGGAGTCTGGTATTAAACCTGGTACCTGGCGGATCTGTCTCAACAACAACAAATTACAACAGGCAAAATACTGCAGATGCTGGAAACCTGGTATAAGCACTGAAGTTGCTGGGAACACGCAGCAGGACAGGCAGCATCCATGGAGAGAGGAAAATTAGTTAATGTCTCAGGTCAATGACTTTCGTCATATTTGGGGGATTGTTCGCCAGGACACCGGGACAGAGAAATTCCCTTCTCTTCTCAGTTAGAGGGAAGCTGTCTGATATAACTATGAAGAGAGACAACAGAGGTCAAAACTCTTCCCATTCGAGAACCGAAGACTGAGGTGTGGTATGATAGAAAAGTTCAAACTTATGAGAATCTCTTCCTTCTGGTAGGGAATTCAATGACAAGAGTTATTAGTTCAAGATTAGGTCTATGCTGTGAGGAAAAAGAGAGACTTGGAAGAACATCTCCTCCTAGAAGTTTACCAGGGAATTATTGTTGTAGCAGCTGTTAGAGAAGAGTCAATTGGAGAACTTAAAAAATAATTGGACAGGCACATGCAAAGGCAGGGTATTAAGAGGGAATGGAGAAAGAGCAGGAAATTAATAATAATCCATGGGTAGTGGTGTCAGTGACTAGGAAATGTGGAAGCAAGAATAGCGAAAGGGAAGTTAGGGGAAATTTTTTGAGTTGTTGAGATGTGGAACATTCTGCCAAGTAAGGCACAGTCTATTGTGAGTTTTAAGAGGGAAGTAATATGAATATGAAAGTTCAAGACTTGAGGGCTACCAGGCTAGGGCATGGCAGAGGGATTGAAAGATTAGGTTTGCTCTGAGATCTGGTGCAGATTCAATGGCTTGAACGGTCTCTTTCTGCAATGTAAGTTTCAGTAACAATTCATAGATTTGATAGAGGAATTTATCATGTTGGTGAAACATCTCAAAAGACTTCACAGGATTTACGGCACAATACAGTGACAGCGTATTTTATAGGCAAATGGGAATTTGGATTAGGATGGATTGCTTCTTGGTCAAGCAAACACCAACACAAACTAATGGGCTGAATGACCTCCTACTGTGTCGTACAGTTCTGTGGTTCTTTATTCTATACATTCCTGTGTCCCAATGTGATTAATGGCAATATTACAGCAGTATTGTGCTGTGCTGTTGGGCCAAGCAGGAATGGGGGAGTTGTGTTAATCTATTGCATTTTCTAACTGCGTGGAATTGTTCACCAAGACTTTTCACTGTAAGAGAACATTAACAAAATGCACCACTTAAGGATTCACCAGATTAATAACTGGGTTGAGTTTCATTTCACATCGGACTTTTGCATCCGAGAGAGGAGACATTCATCACTCAAAGGTGAAAGACCATTCACTGTCTGACCCAACGGACCAGCCATTCCAAAAAAGCTTTGCACTTTTTAAAAAAAAGAAATGAAAAAGAAATCCTTGTCCAATTCGAAACGTTATGATTAATGCTCTACTTCTTTATTATCTAGGTTCTGCTTCACAAAGCAGTGATATGTTCCTTCAACATTGTCAAAGCAAGTGATAGGAGATCCATATCTGTGGGACACATTCCTGCCTATATTTTTCTATTTTCCCAATGGAATGACACTTGCACGATAATAACATTATGCATGACATTAATATAATAACAAGCATGCTATGCATAAGTATGCATAAAGTAATAATTTCTGCCTGTAGATGCTATAGATACCATGACACTATACGAAACGAGAATGGTGTTTATCCAGGTATCGCAGCCAAAATTCTTCCAGATAATTGGGTCCTTCACTTCATGGCTATTGATGGGATATGACAGTGTGCAAAATTGGCTGCTACATTTATCTATAAAAATCAACATTATATTACAATAATGTGAGGTGGTATGAGATGTTTTGACATAATAAGGGAGTGTTGCCTGGAGTGCATTTTTGAATTGCCTTCTCCCGCCAGATACTGATTTCAGCTCCAATAGGCAATCAATCTATTGGACACCAGGAGGTCACATTATAGGAATGGTGGCTGCCAATACAAGGAGGGTCCTGTAATGTTAAATCAGAAATAATCCTGTCTCAAATCATTGTCATGCACCTTTCACCTTCCCTCCTTCCATTAGTGGAAATCCTCTTCCGTCTCTGAACTCTGTCCATGAGAAAGGTCATGGTTAGCCTCTGGGTAGGGAGACTTCTCTTACCTATGATGCAGAATGGTTTCTGGGCAAACCGTAGCCGTCCCTGCCATCCCCTGTATCGGCAGCAGCAGCCAGCCGCCCAGATCCGGATGATGTACTCCAGCCCGAATACCACAATCATTATGAATTCCTGGAGGGGAGGGAAGGGAACAAAAGCAGCCACGAGTCAATATTCCACGAGCATCTGGTTATTGAGCTGAATCTGCTTCTGATTAAGAGAATCGCTACAAAGTACCTGGAAAGTTTCCTTCTTTCTGCTCGTCAACACACGATGTAGTGAAATAAATTATTATGGTGTGATTTGCACTTGGTCTCAGTTTGATAAGGATAGTGCTTTGTCTCAGTGGGGCAAGTTGGTGCATGGACTGCTTGCACTCTTGACCCAAAGGTTGAGGCATGTCCCCTTCATATCATTGTTTGACAACTGACAAGTATCAATTCACGATGAGCAACATCGTGTGAGGAGAGTGGAGGGTTACAGGGCACAAGAGAAGGATTTGGGGGAACTGTGATCACTATTTGAGACACACAGTGACCAGAACCGCTTTCCTCCAACTTCGTAACATTGCCCGTCTGACCATTCCTGACACCCAATGCTGCTGAAACTCTCATCCACACTTTTGTCACCTCCCTCCTCGCTCCACCATTCACAAAGTCCAAATGATTCAAAATGCCATCATCCGTATCCTCCTCCATACTAAACTCTGTGCTGCCATCACCCCAGTCCCTGCCAGGCTTGACGTGCTCCTTGCTGCAGAACAGATCAACTTCAAGATCCTCACACTCACCTACAAATCATTTCATGTTTTAGCACCTCTCTACCTCTCCGACCTATTCACATACCACTCCTCTAACCGTTCCCTTTGCTCAGCCAGCCAGCTCTGGCCTCTTGCATGACCCTCAAGTCCTCTGCTCCATGATCAGTGGTCGTGCTTTCAGTCACTGCGGTCCAAACCTCTGGAACTCCCTGCCTCAATCCCTCCATCTTGCTCCCTATTTGCCTGACTTCAGAACACACCTGAAGAATTTGGCCTTTGACTGTACCTACAGTCCCCTCTCTTTTTACTGAGGGTACGTGAGATAGGAAGAGGCAAGGTTGAAAGTTAAGACTTTAGGTAAGAGATAAACAGGCAGAAATTAAATGTTATTTTTCCAACCTGCATGTTTCTGTGCTCCTCTCTTATTCACCTGCCCACACAGCTTGATATCATCAGCACATTTTACAATATTAAAAAAATTGCTCTCCTTCAAGTTATTAATAATAAATAGCGTGAACAGCTGGCATCCAGAACAGACCCCAGTCACTGCCCCCAAAAAGAGCTTGTCTTGCTTTTAATCAGCTTCTGCTTCGTGCTGCTGAGCCAGTTTTGAATCCAACCAACCAATTTGCCATATATTAATAATAATAATAATCCTTGTAATTGAAACAGTGCTTTTCAAGTCGGGAGGACGTATCAAAGCTCTTTATGGGATTTACTGTAAAGTGCAGTAGCTGTGTTTTGCAGGTGAATGTTGCAGCCAATTGCGCACAGCAAAGTCCCACGAATCACCATCCGATCTGATAACATCTCATCCGAAGGATGGCATCGGCAACAACGCAGCAGGACTCCCAGCACTGCTCTGCAGTGTCAGTGTAGACAATCTGAGTTCAAAGACCTGATGCGGGCTTTGCATCCACAACTTTCTTACTCAGATACAAGTGAGCTACTGACTGAGCCAGGCTGACACTGATCACATTCTTTCACCTTCTTCTATAATCGCACATGTTCATCTTTTTTAAATGCCTTCTGATGAGGGAATACTGCATGGACCACAGTGGATTCTGTGTGGGGAGGAGTGTTGAGGAGTGAGGAATATTGGCTGAGGAAATTAGGAATGTTGTATTTTGAGAGGTGAAAGGAGATGGCACAGCCAATAATGTAATCCATCCCCCAGTATTGCACTGGAAGCAACTTTTGAACATATAAGCCATTCGCTGAGAGTGCAAACCAACCAAACTAAACTAAGCTGGCAATAACATTTCCCTTAATACTCTATGTATGTAACATTCCTCATTTCTTCAGTCAGTATTCCTCACTCCTCAGTCCCTCCCAGCACAGAATCCATTGTGGCCCAATGGAGTATTTTCTCATTATACCCTATGTGTGTAAGAACTCCGAGACACTACCCTGCACGAAGGGCGCTATATAAACGCAAGTTGTTGTTGTATATCATATACGTAATATTGTATACACAAGTATCAAGTATCAGTTGCTGCCAATTTATCATCTTAATTAATTCAGCATCCTGGGGCTTTGTACAATGTGTCCCACATTTCACAGCCCTCTCTATTTACAAGATTCATCTCTAATTGCTTAATTATAAATGTTGCTGTTATTTTTAGCTTGTTTTGCTTTCCTCGTCCCTGGGGCCCACTTTACATCTCTAATGGGTTTTTAACTTGTCTCAGCAAATTCCTGTCCTCTCAAAGTTTCCCTCCTTGGACACTCTAGGCTTTTTTAAAAATAATTGAATCTCAAAAAACCTTCGAACTCCTCCCAGTAATCCAACTCTGTGCTGATCTTCAGTCAACATTCTTTCCGTGCTCAATGATATTAACTTGTGTGAATGGTGCGAGATGTTGTGATATAATTGCCCTATTTACCCCCCTCCTTGGGGCTAAGATAATAATAATAATCCTTGCATTTGATATACAACAACAACAACAAGATTCTATTTATTGAGCGCCTTTCACGTCGGGAGGACGTCCCAAGGCGCTGGACAGTTGGGTCAGGACCCGAGCAGGGGGAAATGGTCAGGGTGAGGGGAGGGAAGGGAGGGAGCGAGGAGGGGGTAGAGAGTCGAGAGGGGAGCTGAAGGCACGGTCAAAGAGAAAGGTCTTGAGACCGGCCTTGAAGGAGGAAAGGGAGGAGGCGGCGAAGGCACTGGGGGATGGAGTTCCAGAGCCTCGGGGCTGAGAGGCTGAAGGCCCGGCCACCGATGGTAGGGCGGTTGGGGCGGGGGATGTGGAGCAGACCGGAACCAGAGGAACGGAGGGTACGGGCAGGTAGGTAGATATAACGCCTTATCATGTCTTCGAGATGTCTCAAAGTGCTTCACAGGATTTACTGTAAAGTGGAGTGACTGTGTATTTTGTGGGCGAAACTCGGCAGCCAATTGCGCACAGCAGCGTCTCACAAACAGTCATGGATTGAGTGATCAAATTATTTATTTTGTAAATTTATTTTGATGGTTTCAAGGTGTCGTGATTAGAATATCAGAATTGAGTCAATCCCCTGTGCCTGCAATCTTGCTAGTCTGATTCCAGACAGGTGAGTCTGCAGTATTCCAGCCCAATGATAATGACAGCCCAGCCAGCCTGGCTCATTCGCAAGACTTGGAGGGGCAGATAAGTCAGTGGGGGCAGGGATTCTTCCCACTTAACTCCTGTAAACCGTGGAAGGTAAAGTCCTAACAGGTAGGGTGGTCCTAGCTGAATAAACAGCAGGACGCTTGCCAGAGAGCACTCTTTTAGCTGGTTAAATAATAATAAATAATAATCCTTGCATTTGATATAGTGCTTTTCACGTCGGGAGGAGGTCCCAAAGCGCTTCACAGAACACACTGTTAAGTGAATTGACTGTATATTTGTGGGCGAACGCGGCAGCCAATTGCGCACAGCAATGTCCCACAAACAGTCGTAGATTGAAAATGACCAATTTATTATTGTTTTTGGTTTTGGAGGGATTATTATTAGGCTCTGTGTGGAGTAAGGAAACTTGCCCAAGGTTTCGCAGTGGAAGGCAGTGAAGGTTTCGCCCTCTGCCTGGAATTGAACTCAGGTCTCTTGTTTGCAAAGCGAGTGCTCTAACCACTGAGCTACAGGATTCCAGCAGTTACCCCAATGCAAACCTTGCAGTCCCAAGCCTCGGTCTTGCCAACCTGCTCTTAATACACTCTATAATTAAGTAAGCATGATGCTGTGCGTAAACTGACTGTCAAAAAAATACACTCCATTTCACAGTATATTCTGTGAAGCGCTTTGAGACGCCTTGACGATGTGATAAGACGCGATATCAGATGCAAGGACTATTATTATGATTACAAACCAGGCCGCATGTTACCCACCCTCTTCAATGTGCCTGATCTGTTTGCTGAGGTATGAAAGGCTAGAGGATAAAGCCAACAGACATAACCGATAGGACTAGACTAATTCAGTTTGTTTCTATTAAAATTCCATAATTGCCACGTTTGATGAATTACAATAGATTTAGAGCTCTGCCCCGTGCACAAATTACCAAACTCCTAATTAAGACATTGACAGGTGGTGACTTGTTCCCACAAGCTTGGGAAGATGCCTCTGACACAGCAGCTCATCACTTACACCCCAGGCTAGCCTGCCTCCTGGGGTCTAATCCACTCCCCTGCTCACTTTTACACTGTCAGCAGCATCGTACTAAACTCCATATTTCTCACTCCCTTGCAGTATTGTGCTTAAAGGTAAGAAACAATGCTTTAGTTGAGTGTACTTTGATGCTTATAGTAACTTTACTGAGTGAAAAGGGTTTATTAATTGTGGTGTGCACCGCATAAGAGGGAACAATGCATTATTTGGTACGGTTTGGCTGGTGCATCTCAGTGTCAGTTCCTATGTGTACAGTTACCCACCAGGTGAAAGGGAATGATTCACATTCTGGTACTCTACAGTTTGTGTGTACAAAACCAGATGGAGAGGAGTGAGTGATGGAAGGATGAGGAGCTGGTTTGATGATGGTATCTCAGTGGGCACGGTACAGTGTAGATGGGGTATCTGTACCACTTGCTGTGATGTGTGCAAAACTATCAGTTCTTAGTGCCCTCTTCTATCACAAAGTATTAGTTCCTTCTCAACAGCATCCTCTCAATATTAATTTATCACAGCCTCTCTAGGATTTGGTATCCAATAGACAGACTCTGGAGTGTGATTTCCTGGCACAGCGCAGCTGTCCCTTAAATATCTGCCGTGGTGATTAGCAGCTGTGATGTAGATGATGCAGTGGAAGCCAGATGGTCTTAGTCAGGGACTGGATGTGAGGTCCTATGCCCTAATTTGGAAAGTTTGAGAGAGAGAGAGAGAGAGAGAGAGAGGTGAGGTTGAGGAGGTCAGAAACTAAAGAGAGGACATATTGACGGGAGCTGAGGATACTTTATTCATATTGGGTTGGAGGAAATTTTGGGGCATCCAAGCCTTGATGTCTCACAGAAAAGTGGACAGAACGTCAATGGACCTGGTATCAAGAATAGAAGTGGAAAGTAGAATTTGGGCATCATCTGCCCATGTGTGATGCCCCAAACTACACTTTACGGTGTGTCCTGTGAAACACTTTGAGATAATCTCCTGATGTGTGAGGCGCTGTATCACGTTAGGATTATTATCATAAATATGGCAGCTAATTTGCATACAATGTCCCACAAACAGATGGGAAGCAAAAGATCAATCTTATCTGGGGAAATGTTGGCCAGGACGCTGGGAGAAACACCGTTCTGTTATCGAGTATTGCCATGAGATCTCTATTGAACAGTCAGACGGGACCTCAGTTTAACATGTGAAACGTTAATGTGTTTGATTGTTGGATGATGTCACAAGAGGGAGTGTGTGAATGAGGCAGAGAAAGGTCCGAGAGCAGAGCCCCAAGGTACTGGGCAGGCGACATGCAAGGGTGGGCGGTCATGTCTGGCTGATTGAGTTAAGGTTCGTGAGAAAATGACAGATTGATTGTTAGATAAAGGTAATGCAGTTAATGTTGGGTTTATGATTTTCGAGAAGGCATTTAATACGGTCGTATACATCATAGAAGAGAATGAAACAATGGTTGACAAAGCACTGATATTATTGGTGCGTATTGATAGAAGACTAAAGGTTAGATAGAAGGCTGGGTTCATGACTATCCCTATTCCCCCACCAGCATTGTATCCGTGGAGTATCTGTCCATCTCACTTCTGCTCTTGTTGACTGCTTTGGTTGGGAATCTGCTCCACACATCCAGCCCTCTAATTGCAAAATCTTCTATTCTCTGGTTTTCCATCAACCAAAATAAGCTAAGCCTATTCACCCAGTGGAGCAGGTTTTGATGGTGTTTGGCTGCTGGTCTCTTACCAGAATGAAGAGTCCCTCGTTTGCTAGGTCCTGGTGCTCAGGAATAGTTGAAAAGACAGACAGCACGAGACAGCTCAAGACAAGCAGGAATCTGTAGAAGGAGAGACAGAGGAGAATCAGCTGAGCTGTGGTATGAAGCTGTGTTGGCCTCGTAACTCGGCCAGAATTCACCCGATGTACTATCTCTGAAATTCACTATGTCATCTGAGATTGTCCTGCTCCCTAGAGATGGTCAGATCTGTCCTGGATCGAATACCGTGCACAGCAAGAGTCAAGTGTAAATTTCAAATCAATGTGTTTCTACAGATGCGCAAAGTGTTGGCAATTCAGCAATTCATTCCACTGCCAGGGCCTTGGGATGTCCTCCCAATGTGAATGGCGCTATACAAATGTAATTTTGTATATTGATAGCATGTAATCGGGTTTCCTGAACACACACAAGTCTGTGTATCTCTACTGCATCGCTATCCTGGCGTCTGACCCTTTGACTCGCCTCTTCCCTCACCTTCTTTAAGGTATGCCTCAAAACCCTCCTCTTTGACTGTGCTTTCAGTCACTTTTCCCCCCTACCCCCTCACCTGCCACCCCCAACCTCCACGCCCATCTAAATTGTCCAGTGCCTTGGGACATCCTTCCAATCTGAAAGGTGCAATATAAATGTAAAATTGCATTGTGTGTATCACAATGCAATTTTGACAATGCTGTTCATTTGCACATCAAAACAAACATTGTAGTTTTCTCCACAGTCTGGAGAAGGTGGCTTGAGAATGAATTATTGAGTGAATGGCCTTTACTTAAGCGAACAATGTAAATCGATGTAGTGCTGCGTCTCAATCCCTCTCTTGTCCACCTCATTGAATGTTCCCTTTGTCTGTCTACACATATTACATTAATCAGCAGCGTGGCTGCCAACTGTGGGTTTGTTTGGTCAGCCGAGTGTCTGACACATGCAGAAACACATCACGGTGCTTAAGAGTATCCAAACCAAACTGAGAATTCCATGCATCCCACCTGCACATGGAAATTCCTGAGATAGATTGTTGGAATGGAATGGGCACTCTCTTCCCAGAGGGACACTTCCTGCTTGCCTAAATCTGGAAAATATTAGCTGCAGTTTGGCAAGAGCCAAGGTACTGAACTCACTCCTTGGGACGGTGTTTGTAGGTAACAATATACAACGCAGCTTACCACATTTGTACAATACAACATTAATGTTGCATTACACATTTCATTGAACAAGATTTAGAGGCTTGTGAGTAGTGAAACTCAGTGCTACTGAGTAGCACTCAACGGTGAAATTTTATATGGTACTGAACACACATTGTTTGTCAGCCTGGCTCATTCAATAGCCAGACCGACAAATCTGCCTCGCCTTTCAGTCAGAAGGTTGTAGATTCAAGTCCCTCATCACGACTTTGCATTCATAGGCTAGGCTGACACTCCAGTGCAGTGCTAGGGGAGTGCTGCCTTGTCAGAGATGCTGTTCTTTGGTTAAGATGTTAAACTGAGGTTAAATTTGCCTGTTCAGGTGGACGTTAAAATATCCCAATGTACTACTCGAAAAAACAAGGGAGAAGACTGCAGTATTCTGGCCAATAATCTCCCAGATATAACTGACTACTAATTCTATGGTTGTTTGTGCAATATTGCTCTGCACAAATCACCTGCTGTGTTGGCCTATAAATACAGTCACTACACTTTACAGTAAATCCTGTGAAACAGTAGAGACATTTTGATGAAGTAACATGTCCTCCTGACATGAAAGGTGCAACATTAAATCCAAGTATCATTATCATTACTCTATTTTATAGCATCCAGAAGTTGGAAGGTAATATTTAAGGTGATACGCACTGAATGTGCTGCTAAATTGAACTCCTTGACTTTGCTGCCTTCTTATTGCTGACGATGAAAGGCTTTTGCTAAATGTCTTCACAGGACAGTGCCTGTCACTGTTGGGGGTGACAGAATGGTTATTTTTACTGCCTACTAATAGCCAAATTATTCCAGCAACACTGGAATGTTATTTTACATTACTTCCCAGCAATTAGTGATATATTAATGATATGGTTCAGTTACTGCTCTCATACTCTCCCTATCATTCCATTGAGCAAGCTTGTCGTTAGTTGATTGCTGTTTGACCCCAAATAAGGAACTGCAGCCAAATAGCCTTAAGCATGGAATAAAGCTCCCTTTATGCTGCCCATCCAACACTCCCAGGTGAGGGACACTGAGGTTAGCATCAGAGTAAAGCTCCCTCTACACTGTTCCATGATCGCGTGTCACTTCCAACCCAGAAAAATCCCATTGGCCATGACTGACAGCGATCACCTGGTGCACTGTGTTTGGATTGCACTTTGAACCGTAGAAATATATGGTAAGGAAGAAAGCTTTTTGTCCCATTGTGTATGTTCCAGCTCCCTCAAGAGCAATCCTTTCAGCCCATTTACCTGCCCTTTCTCCTGCCCTGCATTTTCCTAGTTCCCTCTTGAAGGCCAATATGGATTTTGCCTCAACCACTGGTCAAAGCATTCCATATCCTAACTACTCTGTGCATGAAAACCTTTCTCCTAATCTTCCCATTTGTTTGCTTAATGACCATCTTAAGTTGATGCCCTCTAGTTGCTAACTCACTGACTGGTGGAAATGATTTCTCCGTATTGACTCATAATTTTAAAGACCTCTATCAGATCACCCTTCAATCTTCTTTGTTCTAGTGTAAAAATTCCCAATTCCTCCAACCTCTTCTCATAGATCACTCATCTCTGTAAAATCTCCTCTGCACTCCCCCTATCGCCTTGACATCTTTCCTAAATTGGGGGGGACCAACATCTGACACAATATTCAAAAATCTAGAATGTACCAACAAATGGGAATAATTCCTGTGAGCGATATACACTGAGTGATGTTGCTACGAATGGGATTGTCCATTATAATCACACATCGTCAAAAAAGCGTAACACTAAAATTGATATTTCCCAACAATCTACAGAATTTACCAATGTGTTACCTCCTAGGGATGATAGTCTTTGGGACTGTGGTCTGAGGCGCTGAACCAAAGTGGTTGACATGGTGAGTTTTAGTGGAAGGTCTCAAACTGGGATGAGGGGGGGTGAGGGTTTGGGATGAAACCTTGCTCTGTGCTGAGTTACCTGGACTCAACTGCAAGGAACTGGATCAACTGCAGCGAACATTATAATAATCTCACATCGGGTACAACAGCTTATCACATCGAAACGTTTCACGGGATTTTCTGTGAAGTGCGGTGTTTGTCTATTTGTGGACAAAAGTGCAACTTCAGTGAAGGTTCCTCAGTGACAGCTCATCAGTGTTGGCTCGTCAGTGACAACGACTCATGGACGGCTCCGAGGAAACCTGACTCAAGATTCTTTGACAGTACCCAACAACAGATAAATGTGTTAGGACAGAATGCCTCATCCCCCCTAGACATGCCGACATGACAAGCAGTGATTTGGAAGCCAACATGTGGCTGCTTTTCTCTCCAATATTAATTGCTGTAAAAGAAATGAAACGTCACATCCCTTTTCTTTTCTCTCTTCTCCTCTCCTGACAGTGTTGACTCTCCTGCTTTCCTTCCTCAATGGGCTACAGTTGATGGTGGGTGCAATAGGAGGCCATTGAGGTAAGGATTCTGGATGGATGAGATCAAGTGAGTCGAAAGGCTTTCTGGATCAGAACCGATCTTGTGATCTTTCCGGTTCCTCACTCAATAACCGTTGCTCAAAAGCGTAGGCTGTTGGTGCTGGCAGACTTTCTGACATTAACATCAGGCGCATAAATGATCCAACATCATAGATAATCCCATATTCACCCAATTTCGCCCACAAATATACAGGCAATTCACTTTACAGTCTATTCTGTGAAGCGCTTTGGGACGTCCTCCCGACGTGAAAAGCGCTATATCAAATGCAAGGATTATTATTATTATTATAAATGATCCAACATCATAGATAATCCCATATTCACCCAATTTCGCCCACAAATATACAGGCAATTCACTTTACAGTATATCCTGTGAAGCGCTTTGAGACATCTCGAAGATGTGATAAGGTGCTATATCAAACACAAGGCTTATTATTATTAATATAATATTGATATAGCACCTTATCACATCTTCAAGACATCAGGAGCACTTCAGGATATAAAGTAGGAGGCTTTTCTAAGGCTGGAGCACAGATATATCGATGCCAACAATATATTCCCTCATGGGATGTGGTGTTCTACTTAGAATCCTTGTTCTCTGCCTCGAAATGTTGTATCTCCCTCCCAGCCCTGCCAATCTCCCACGCAATAGCTATGAACACCAGGAGAAACTCCAACAAAACATTTAAATACACCTGCATGGCGTCAATTAAGATTTGTTACACATTGGGTCAGAGAAGAGCTTTGAAGCACAAGATGCAATAGCCATTCACAACAACAACAGAAAGTAACATCAACAGACTGACAGAAGTTGTGTACCATACAATACAAATTTACATTTATATAGTCTCTTTTACCATAGATGGGAGGATGTCCTGAGACACTGTATAGCCTAAGGTTTGCAACCTTGCCTGGGGATGAGGGCATGGGGGAAAACGATAGCCAAAAGCGTGGTCTTGAGGAAGGTCGTGAGATGGACCTTGAACAAGAGGGAAGGGCTGAGTCAAAGGGCTGGTGTTCCAAAGGGTGGGGAGAAGATACTCTGAAAACCTGACCATTGATGGTGGGGCAGGTGAAGCAGGGAGGAATCATAACTATTTGTGGGACACTGCTGTAAGCACAATTGACTGCCACATTCGACTGCACAACACACAGTCACTCCATTTTACAGTATATCCTGTGCCGTTCTTTGGGATGGTCTTACTGACACGAAAGGCAAGACATCAAATTTAAGGGTTATTATTTATTGTTATTATCATTAGTAAATCTGGGAAGAACAAGAGCAGTTCAGTGAAGCAATGGCTATTGTGGTATTGACAAAGAAGAGTAATGGGAAATAGATGACGATGGAGAGAAATGTAGGTGAAAGAAAGATTATCTATCGAATGACAAGTACCCTGACCAGGAGTGAGAGAGTGGGCATTGAAAAGG